CACACACACACACACACACACACACACACACACCCCTAACCCAGGCAGCTGAAAGGTGAAAACGAAGGCCATCTGTGCCCGGACAGTGTGTTGAAATCCTGTGTAACTATAGCACTATTAATAGCCTCTCCCGCCCTTGTCGTTTGAGGCTTGCAGCCTACAAGCCTTGTCTGCCAGGCAGTGCAGACGCAGCTCTTTTAGCCAAAAAGTTTACCGTCACTGGGGAGGGGTCAGGAGAGCAGCAGGCCGCTGGCCAAGAGGCCCTGGGGCACGACTGCAACTTCCTGGGTCGCTGACAGCAAGCAAAAGCAGAATGCATGCAGCACAGTCCCTTGTTCTTGTTTACCTCTGCGATTCCTGGGTTGAACAAGCCAGGATTTGCTGTTACAAGCAAACCAGGCCGTTTGGACACGTTTGCTTTGTGGATAGCTGGATATAGGACGGGTGAGTAGGAAGCGGAAGGCTAGCATGTGGTTGCCTGGTGTGATGTTTATGTGCAAAATCAAGAGGCATGTACTTTGCATTCAAGGTATTAAGCTGCAAGCGGAGGAAGAAAAAGCATGTTTGTTTGCTTGTTTGTTTATTCATTCATTATATCCTTCCTTTCGGCCACAGCCTCCTGCATAGGGCAGCTAACAGCAAAATACAGGTTATAAACAACATTAAGCCTAACATAAAAACAAATACGTTAAAAAAGACAGCTAAAAATACAAGAAAAAGAAAAGGCACTCAACCAAATCCCCTGCATAACAAAATAGTTTACATGCCAAAGGCCTGCCTGGGAAATCAAACATCATTGTCTGCCAGTAGAAAGATTACAGGGGGCAGGCAGTTAACTCAGCCTCCCTTTGCCGGAAATGGCAGAGCGAGGTTTTCTAAAAGCATCCCAAATCTCCGCCCAGCACTGAAATAGGGACAGTGGTTTACCAGGTACCAGAAAAGAGAGGCTGTCTCTGGTAAACAGCGGGGCTGCATTGGTCTGTCTTGCCTTCTATTTCTGGAGAGGTCCTTGGTGTCGATAGAATTTCATGTGACAGGTTGGAGAGGGAGGGGGCTATTTCTGGCCGGTGAAAGAAGCTGCGGCAAAGTTGCGCTGCCCTTCCTCCCCGTGCCAGGGGTACCAGGCACAGCACCATGCCCCACTGGGAGAACACAGCCGCGCTGCCCCCAGCATGGCTGCCTAGGCGGACGGCAAGGTAGGCTCTGCAGCATTGCTCCCCCTTCCCGCGTTTGCTTCTGCTCCCCTCTGGTGCCTGCCTTTCCACTCTGGAATGGGACGGGGCTCTCGTCCTCCAGCAGGTCATCCAGCTCCCTGGGTAGCCCAAGTGGTCCGCGTCTCCTCCGGATGCCTCCGCTGAGGACAGAAGCCAGCCACCCATCTGCAGCAGGACGAGGCTAAGGGAGAGGGTTCTGTGAGAACAGCCAGCCTTGCTCCCACACCGCGCGGCCCAGAGAACGGCATAAGCAGGCGGACGAGGCCGTGAAGGTCACACTTGGCCACCCCCGTGGTGGGGGGTGGTATCTGGCCTCTGCCGTGCCAAGGCTTTCCGACAAAAGGGCCCTGGTGGCCGCCGCGTCCCTTTCTCAGATTTTGCGCGCAGAGGCAGATTTCTGCCACCCGAGAGCGTAGATTCGGATCCGTCTTTGTCACCAGAGGGCCGAGGTGACTCGTTGACGCAGGCTTTCGCCAGCTTTCGCCGGGACACTGACAGGGCTGCTCTTGGACTGCGATAGTTTGGCCAAGGTGCTTTGAGCGCTGGTAACCCTCTTGCAACGCATGTTGTATGGGGCTGCCCTGAAGGTCCTGCAGATGCTGCGAATGCCACAGCCCCGGCAGCAAGACGCCCCCCAGCCAAAGGAAGCGCGCCCGCTGCTCCCGGGCCGGATTTAAGGTTTTGCTGCTTGTGAGGAATGGCGTAGCAACCTGGCACCTGCCTGTCTGCAAGATGTACCTCTGCAGATCCATGCAGATTATCCAGCGGTGGTGCCACATATTCCTGATGGCCTCTCCACCGTTGCTCCCGGAAGGGCATTTGGCAGGAGTTGTGGTATCTCTCTCTTCCCTCTGAACACCTATGTACTCCGAGGTGCATGGCAGGGGCACTCATCCAGCATCCACTCCACCTGGGCAGGCTCCTCCTCTTCCTCTTTGCACCCTTCTTGTTCACCTGCTTTTCGCCCTGGCCCAGGGAAACGGCGGAGGGAGGTGAGGAGGAAGCACAGCAGGTGCCCCGACTCCCCTGCTCGCCGGCTTCCTGCCTGCCAAGCAAGTCGACGGGGCCTGTGCCGCACGTAAGCATGGCTGGGCACCAGCGGGACAGCATTTCAACCTCCTTGTTCTCCCCTCTGCCCCAGACAAAGGTTGTGGTGCAGCGGTCACTGCAGACTCTCCCACAAGCATGATGAAAAAGAGGAAGAAGAGGAGCAGGAGGGGGAGGAGAGGAGCTGGTTCCTCTGGGGGTGTGAAGGCAGCAGGGAGCCCACCGAGGGGGTTTTGCTCAAGGTCCTCACAGATCGGCACTGTGGCATGTTGGGGATAATCGCAAGCCATTTCACAGATATGTGGATCCAATGTAATACTGGCATTGTTTTAAAAATCTGTTTTATGCATGTGTGCTTTAAGCATACGGTTTAAATTCTGTAGCTGTCAGCTGTTCAGGACTGTGCCACCAGTTCCCCATCAGAACAGGCAAGCCACCCTGCTCTGGGGCAAGGTGCACAGCTCGGCAGGGCCCTCCCATGCGTGCCTCCGTAGGACAGAATGATAGCCATATCCCTTTCTAGGGGAAAACAAAGGCATTCGCTTGGAGGATAATCCTGGGGGTGGGGGGGGGGAGGGATGAACTGGCGCCCTTCCTCTGGTTTCCTTGGTCACTGGGTGTGTGGCACCCCTTTCACTGTGCTGATCCAGCCCCAGGGTCTGTTTCCTAGTCACACTAGCATGTGACAGAATATGGAACAGGAAATGCCGGGAAGCACTGTTTCAGTCAGAAGCCTACCGACAAATCACCGTTCAGTCACAGGATTTCATTTTTAGAGTGCCGTCCATGCCTATGGCAACGTGGCCAAGTCCCAGCTGCCAAGGGGGTTACAACGAAAAACAGGCTCTGGGGAAGCTGTAAAGAAGTGCCTTGGTTGCAGGAAATAAGAATTAAGACGCACAGACAAGAACTTCTGTTGGCCCGAGGGTCATATTCCGTTTTGGGAAAGCTCCCGGGGTCGCATTCCAGGGGCTGGCACGGCCAGTGCCAATTGGGTAGGGCCAAAATACCAGCAATACCAGCATGGCATAGCTTAAAGCTCCCCCTCTCCTCTCCCTAGGAGAGGCTTTCTAACTTTTCAGAACGGGAGAAAGTGCAGAAGCCCGGAAACCACAAAAGGTCAGGGGGCTGTGAGGAACTTGCCAAGTGTCCCTGGTGGGGGAAAGGCCCCAGAGAAAGGGAAGGCCATATAGATGGAGGGGGTGAATTATGGGATGTCACAACGGATGTGGGGCAGAGGAGTAGCACCTGGCATCAACCATCGCAAAGTTCTCTGTGCACCCTGCTGTGGAAGGACCAAGAATGAATAATTGGTTGGCATGGAATTACTGCAGCCTTGTAGCTGAGAAGGCTGCGTGGCAACTCCAGAAGTTTAAATCTTATTTCTGCCAGGAATTCTGTAGGCAGGCAGCCTTTGCCCAAGCCACGAGCTCAGCTGTCGCTCCTCCACAGTGCTCTTTGGCTGCTGCTTTGTGTGCAAGGCAAAACGGGCCCGTTTTTCCTAGTTTCACTCACCGTAACATGCCCTTTTTCTTTCTCTCCGTCCGTTTCTTGTGACTCCACCACTGTGCCCCTTCCCAGATGGAAAATTTTGAGTACAGCATCCAGCTGAACAACCGGGACTGGGCTGAATTCTACTTGGCCTCTGAAGAATGCAGTCTGAGCCAGCCGGCCTTGGCCACAGCTGACGAGCAGCTCCTGAGCGACCTTGAGGACGGGGAAGCCGAGGAGAACAGGCCGATCCAAACAAGGGCAGGCCCCATCCTGGCCCACGGCACGAGCGGCTGCCTCTCACATGGACACCCTCACATGGACACCCTCTTGCCCAGCAGCAGGGACAAATCCAGTGCAGGATCAGTCAGCGGACCTCCGGGTGGCGACAAGCACGGTGGGACAGCTTTCTCTCAGTCTTCTCGCGGCCAGGAAGGTCAGCTGTCCCACGGCACTCTGAGGCCACTGGGAAGCCGGTGTGGGCTGCCAGAACCTGCCACGGGCTCTGAGGCGGCATTTGCTGCCAAGGAAGGAGAACTGGAGAGAGCAGAGAAGCTCACAAGTCCTCGCTGTCTCCTAGCAGTGGTGACAGCTCCTGCCGCCCAGGAGAAGGACTCCTCAGTTCACCGCCCGGGGCAGGGGGCAGGAGAAAGCCCTGCTGGTGCGGTGCCCACGAGCCTGGATGCCGCGGTGAGGATGGACAACCCAGTGGGAGAAAAAGGAAGGGCCCCTCCCTGCCTGGGGTCCCAGCACCCCAAGGAAGACGTCTCCCAGGCTGCCTCCGCAGACTTCCGACTTCCAGCTTCCGCAGGCGGCACTGCAGGTTCCGATAAGCCAGGCGTGTCAAGCGATCCAGCTGCACATCCAGCTCCTGCACGTTTCGCTTCCCCGGTTTCCATAGAGCCTGGAGAAGCAGGGCGCTTGGAGAAGGGCACCCAGCCCCGCCAGACTGTCTTGCCAACCCAGGCCCCACCACTCCAGGAAAAGCTTCCCCTCTTTCACGGACCTCCAGGTCCAGCCACGAAGGACTTGGCACCTTCTGGCCCACCATGGGAGAAGCATGGAGAATGCTCTGCAGGGAAGGGGAGCCAGAAAGGCGAGCGTGCCACCCACCTCAGAGATGAGCAGGGAGCTGGTTGTGGCACAGGCGTAGGCCATGGCTTCGTCAAAGCAGGGGGCTCCGATGGCAGGCCGGGGAGCTCTCCCAGGGACAGCAGGGCGCAGCATTTTCCAGGAGAACGAAGGCCAACACGAGCAACTGGCTCCACACGCAACGGACTCTCAGACGCACACAGAGAACCTGCTCCATTAGCAGGAAGGGCAGAGAGGGAGGGCACTGCCGGACCTCCTCGCCCCCTTGGCACGGCTGCCCCACGTCCAGGGGAATCGCTTCCCTTGCTTCGTGCGGGCCAGAGGGCCAGTTCCTCTGCAGAGCCCACTCGCCCTCGTCCGACAGCACCAGACCCTCCGGAGAGCAGTTTCGCCACCACAACGTGGCCAGATGTGTACGAGTACTTCTTTTGCGATGACACCCAGGAGAAAGGGGGGACGCTGGGAGAGGGGATGGGGGTCTCTGCCGCTGATGAGGCGCTGCCCCAGATGGAGGGGCCTGACATGTATGAATATTTTTTCAGCGAGGTGGGTGAGGCCCAGGTGGAGGAGGGCCGTGGGGCCAGAGTGGCCACCCGGGACTGTACTGCAGTGGCACCGGGTGGCTTGGAGGACATAATGGCTGCGGCGGCTGGTGACGCCATGCACTTCTCCGTCCCAGAGGTGTATGAGCACTTCTTTGCCAGCCATGGAAAGAGAGAAAGAAACTGGAGGGCATTTTTCCTGAGCTTGCCAGCCTCAGAGGCAAAGAAGGTTGTGAGAGCGTTGAAATCCCTCCTGTGCAGAGCGGCACGCCATTCCCGATCCCAGCCCGTGGTGCACGGCGCTTTGCTGCGGAGGGGTCCCGAAGGGAGGCTGGTGCTTCTGTCTCCAGGTCCCTTGGATGAACAGCAACCGAGACCAGGAGACCTAAGAATGGCTCTTATGGAACCAGGTACCGGTTCTTTTCCTTAAGTAGGTGGGCTTCTGGTTCTAATGTGTGTTGGTCTGCGTGTGTACAAGCTTCTTGCCGGTGCTTCATTTCTAAACACGTGTGGTGGGGCTGAAACCTTTTGTGTTGTGAACACTCCTAGTAATGCCTGATGTTGGGCTGGAGTGTGCACCGTTGCTGAACTGTGGGTTGGTGTTGCAACATGGGTGATCGCATTGTCTGAACCCAGCTCAACAACAAAGCATGATGAACAACACGCAATCCAAGGCCAGCAACAAATCACGGATTCTCTTGACTGGTTCTTCTTGGTTAACAACCCATGGCGTGTTAGCGTAGTCAGCGTCAGACAACACAATAACCTACATTCCAACAACAACAAGAGAAGGCGAGAGAAAGAATCAAGAAGCCTAGCTGTATTTCTCATACATTGTTGAACCAAACAATGACCCAACAGCCTAAATTACAAAACCCTCATAGCTTGGTGGTGGCCAGTTAATCAGTTGCTCTTAACTGATGGCCTAGAACCCATCCACTCAAGAAACCCACACAGAAAACAAAGAGCTTGAAGTTCTATCACTTTCAAAAAGCTAACCCTGTTGGTCTGTTCTGTAGCAAAAACAACAAGAACCTTTAAAGAAATATGCACAGGCATAAACTTCCAAGGATTGGAGTCCGTGATAGCATAATCCACGTATTAGTCATTAAGCTGCTATAAGACTCCTTTATTTAAGTTTCACAACATGGCCTGAGGCGCAAGACCTTCACAAGTCCGATCCTATGCCTCACTACTCAGAAATAATCCCCTTTGGCTTACTCCCACGTCAAGTGTGCATGGGTTTGGATGTGCAACCTTGGACTGGTGGAGGGAGATCCAGGTCACCAAACGAAAACTGCATCCCAAAGACACTCAAAAGGAGACGAGCAAACAGAGCTCATTAAACACAGCTCCTCTTGGAGCTGAAACAAAAGGCTGACCTTTGGCTGTTTAAAAGGCATTATTGGTCCTGAACCTCAACACAGGAGAAGTGTTTGTTCAGGCCTTTGCTATTCTGCGGGAGGCAGACAGAGAAGGTGCGTGCCGCATCAGCTCATCATCGGGGTGAGTTTGACAAGAGAGGCCGGGGGTTTGTGGGTGATCCCCTGCTTTGCATGCAGAGCGGTCGTTGGCCTTTCCCAGAAGGGCTGGAAAAACTCCTGCCTAACGCCTTGGAGAGCCTCTGACACCAAATATAGAATAGCGTGTGATGTTCCTAGTATTGGTTTTATTATGTTTATATCCCACCATTTTCCTCCTTGCAAATAATTCAAGGCACCCTTATATAACCCTCATCCTTTCTATTTCATCCTCCCAACAACCCTGTGAGGTGGGTGAGGCCCAGAGGCACCCAGTGCACTTCACAGCCAAGCGGGGACTAGAAGCCGGATCCCCCAAGCCCAGTCCAGCGCTGTTCCTCCGTGCTGCACTGGCTCTGTGTTGATGGACCATGGGGCTGATCCTGTATTCTTACTGGAATGGAATGGAATAACCCACCAGAATAACCCACCAGAATAGGGGCGCTAGAAGGGGATGCTCCTCCCACACACGGCCCTGTTTTCATTGGGCCGGCTCTACCCTGAGGCAGTCGGAGGCCCTCATCTGGCAGGGAGGAAGCCGGGAGGCTGCAGGGTGCCACGGAGCTGGTCTCGAGCCCCCTTGCATACGGAGGGAAGGGCTGTCCCGTCCCCTGAGGGGTGCAGCACCGTGGCACGTCCTCCATGCTCCGTCCAAGGAAGACTGTGGCTCATATGCCAAGCAGACGCCTTGCGTGCAGAGGGTCCAGGGTTCGAGCTGCAGCTTCCCCAGGCGGAGTGGGCACGTCTTCTGCCCCTCAGCCTGTCCGCTCACCTACCAACCTGTCTCAAAAATACCGGGCTGTATGGACCAAGAGGCAGATTCCGTATCAGGCAACTTCCTCTGTCTCTGGGAAGGGCATCCTATCTACTGTACCAAGAAAACAATCAGTGTCCTTGACACTGCCTCTGGGCATGTGCCGAATGCCCTGTGGTAGAGTCATCATCAGACATTAGGTGAAGAACTAAGAAACTCTGGCGACAAAACTTCCAGGGCAGGCTCAAGACCCAGAACTTCTGTTCCCATGCTAAACGGACTCCCAGTATCTTCCTATTTAATACTGGGAAAAACAAGACGCATAAATGGCTAACACAGCTGCCACAGGTAGAAAGTGTAAATACCTGTTCCCATTTCAGGAGCAGATCGGGGTGTCGATAGGAGTGAGAGTGAGGAAAAAGCTGGAGAAACCCAAGCTTTGAAGACTCTGACTGTCTCTGGGTATTTAACAGTTTTGTGTGGATTTCCAGGTTATTACAACCTGATATGGCATCTGAAAGCCCCCTTGGTTTATCCAAATTTTATTTGAGATAGATAGGTAGAGATATAGATAGACAGATATCCCGACGCCTGTGGAAAAGAAGAGAGCAACCTTTATGATGATCAAAAGTCAAACTTGGATGAAGAGAGTCAAAGGCAAAGCTGTTTTTTTAAATGAGGTTGAGGGAGAAAGCTACTGTTTCAGTTGTCTTGGTGATGGTCTTGTTGCTTTTTCAAGGGGAAAAAACACGCTGGTCCTTCTTTCCCTCAGAAAGGCCCCTCCAGCCGGTTTTCACGCACAGGGACATGTGCCTGGGCTTCATGGCATTTGCTTCGTGGGCTGTGAAGACCTCTGACCTGCAGGCTCCGGATGCCTGGAAGATCGGTAATGTAACGCAAGGGCCCCTGTGTGGGAGAAGCAGAGCTTCCGCTGGATTTGGTGAAGGGGCAGGTTTAAGCTTGAGAGATAGCCCGGGAATGTTAACATATGGGCCCCATTCTGTAACAAAACAGAATACCTGGCACTCTCTCTCACTCTTTTTTCTTACCCTTTTCTCTGTCTCTCTTCTCTGTCTCTCTCCTCCGATATCTTTCCTTCTTTTCCTCCTTTTCCCTCTTCGACAGCTCTCCGTTTTCCCCCCAAACCAGTGGACCCTTGTAACAAAAAGGAAGATAATCTTCACTTCTACACCTAAAATGCAGTTTCCTTTTAGCACATAAAAGAATAAGAATTATCTGCCCTGGGGCCCCTTTTATTTCTGCAATTTTCACTGCCCTGGTTGAGTGTTCAGTGAGGAAAAGTCGAGTCCAGGGCAGTAACTCACACAGACACACAACGGCAGAATTCCATTGGGTCCCCATACCTTGGGAGTGTCTGACTGATGTACAAGCACCTGCTGCAAGTTGCTGCAGAATTTCTTTTGCTGGAAAACAAGCAAGCTTCAATTACCTTGTATCCCTGGGAAGGGTTGATTAATTCAGTCCTTCCTGATGAAGAAAAATGGTTGAGCCACGTGCCCTTGTGTAGCCTGATCAGAAGGAGGCAAAACCAGGCCAGCCCCTCACACTAAGATCTAGTTGCCATCCGCTACAGAAAATGTGCGCTTTGAACTCACTTTAAGCGAACTGCTAGTGCTCCATGTAAAATAAATTTGAGAATAATTAAATTCATGTTTCACGGAATACTAGCAGTTCTCCTGTTGAGGAATTACTGCTTCATTCGGTTTTCTGCCTGTCCTGCATTCCTTCTGAAGAGTCCAATTGATAGGTTGTGTTCACACACACACACACATGCGCGCGCGCGCGCCAACACAAGCAGGAAAGCCAGTGAACCTCCTCTTTCTCCGCCCGAATGCGAAAGTGGAGCAAGTGGCATCCCATTGGAGCAAGAACTGAACTGGCCTTCACCTGCCTGCCTCCATCTCTCTTTCTTTATGCTAGCAAATATTTAGAAAGTAGAATTTACTAGCAACAAAGGGATAAATCTTAAATATATTCTCCAGGTATGGGAAAAACAAACTTATTTATGTTGCTGTTTTGTGTTAAGCAGGAATTTAGGGGTATGGAAGGATATTAATGTAAACCTAACTGTACCTCTCTGGAGTCTTCGGCTGACTTCCGCCATCCATTTGTTTGTCGAAATGGCAGAGAAAGGCAAAGGAGCTTGCATTTCCTTCTTTTGAAAATATAAATGTTGGCAATACATGCAAATCTTGTGCTCCAAGGGCAAGGTAAATAAATAGCATGGCCTACACTTGCATTTTGTTGAATACAAAAGAAGAAGAGGAGGAGGAACGATTGATGAAGAAAGATGAATTGAAATAAACAGAAACAGTTGGATCACTGGGAAACTTCCCATGGCCAGCCTCAGGCTTAGATTCTTGCAAAGGTTGTAGGATTAGCTGGGCCTTAATCTGGTCCAGCAAGGCGCTTTTCATGTTTTTTAAACAAGAGTGCAGGTCCAGGATCATGTAATGCCAGATCGGCTACGCATCATCCGGTAAGTCATAATGATCAGGCGATAGGCTTGCATCCGTGGACCATGGGAGATTATATGAAGCAAAGATAAAAGAGACCACTCAGAAGTGAAACCGGCCCAAACCCCCGTGTGTCAGTACAAGGTGCAGAATTCATCTTCCTGAATACTCCAGTGTGTTGCATTGTGTTGTGTTGTGTTACTGTTCTTCATGATTGCAAAGACATGCTTGAGAATATGGGCAACATCAAGGGAAATCTCAAGTACCCTGGAAGATTTGCAGAGGCCGACAGGGAGGGAGGTTTCCACGCTTTGTCCCCACCCCATGCCTAGAGAATGCAGAATGCGATATACAGGATAGGGATAATTACTGCGTGAAGGATGCAAAAGAAGGGAGCCTCTGCAAACTGTGCAGGTTATGAAGGATGCACAGCAAACTTTTGAAAAGGAAAAGTTTAGTGTAGAATACGCATCGGCGGACTGCGCCTTCCAGGGAGACTAGACTGCCTGATTTCTTGTGGAAAGCTTCACCCCTGGCTTTTCTCGAGACATCTGCCCATGGTGTGGGGGCATCTCTTTCTTTTCCAGTGCTGCTGGCAAATTTTGGCACCTTCTCAGCCATTCGCTACTTCAGACGGCAGGTCTACATGGACAGACAGCATGAGAGCTAAGAGGATTCTACCCAAGCCCACCTGTTCCTGGCCAGTCGACGGAGATGGTTTGGAAGGAGTGCCATGGCGTCGTTTAAGGAAGAGATCCAACGTTTTGGTCGTTTGCTTCCTGGACTATAGAGCTCACTGCTATAACCTTCTACTTGGTAAAGGAGGCCAACAGGCAAGAAAGGTGATGGAGCCCTCCATGGATTTTGGTTCCAACATCATTGGGCTGTATAGGCAAGAGAAGGCATCAAGCCCGAAACGTCAATTTCTGTCTCAGTCAGAAGTATATCTTGAACTCCTGGGAGAAGCTGGTCTATAAATAAATAACCCAAGTAGCATCCAGTTGGTAGCTAGCTAGACAGCTGCACATGGGAGACGCAACAGCTAAGGGATAACTGAAAGGTATTACTTTTTTCCCAAGAAGGATGTTGAAAGGATTTAGAGGCAGGTTTCATGGATGGTAGAAAGCACCAAAAATAAAAAAAACCCTACAAAAACAGAAGTCTAGAAGGCAAGTTATTAGAAGGGTGATCCAACAGGATGACTTTAATGGCGAGAAGATGTGGGTTAGGAGGACAGAAAAAGACGTGGATATGGATGGCTTCCATGTATTTAAATGAATATTTGAAAAGAAGACCAAGGGGAAGATGGTTTATTGTACCCTATGATAGAAACAAAGAAATAAAGAGGAGGAAAACACAGAATTAAGGCAAGCAATGCCCAGAGACAAGGCCCTTCTAAAGATCATTAAAGGGCCTAGCCAGTTTCCGTAAGAATGAGGAAATGGACATATTTATATGTTATTAGCACTGGCAAACCTTTTCAGTATTAAAGTTCCTGTCCTTTTCACTGCAGTGTAGATAAAGGAAATTTGGGCAGAATAAGTAGCATTTTTGTAGACTGAACTGAACCGATGGATTTTTTTGGAAATAACAGACATGCATGATTCTTTTGTATATTTATGTATATTGAAGAGCTCTATCAAACAAGTCCGCACATCTCTAGCTAAAATGTTTGCATCAGGAAATGACCTGGTTTGCTGTGTGAGTTGGGGGCTTGTAAAGTAACAAAGCTGTCTGACAAAGAGTGGTATGTAACTTGGAAAGTTTGCGAATTCCCACCCTAATGGAGGTTGTGTCAATAAAAGATCCCTCCTCATTTGTTTTTCATATTTTTCAGCCCCAGCTGAAAAAGTTGAAGAAAGGTTGACACAGTTGACTTCAGAATTCTAACAGAAGCTTGGAACATGTTTGCATCAAATGGTTCAACTAAACCAATTAGATTTAGCGGATTGTACTTCTGAGCGTCAAAGCATTTCGCATGCACCCTCTGGCCATGATATCGACAAGGTCAGAATTATTATCCTCCATGTGGCAGCTGCTTGGAGGAACTGAAGTTGAGAGAATGTGGTCTACCTACTCTGAAGCCATGGAAGCAGAACTGAGGTTCTGCTTAGGGACTTCCAGGTTTGCAGTCGCTGAACAATGATAGTAAGATGGCAGGGGTGCCATCTTGCCCTTCATGTCAGTGGCAAAACATCTTTGGCAGCCCTGCATCTCTGCCTTGCGGTTACATGTGGTCATGACTTCCTCTTCGCCTCTGTTCTACAAAGAACAATTCATTTCTGGTCTAGTTGTTATGCTTTCAAAAGCTATGTAGCAACCGAGAGTGCAGCACATAAAGGTTTTAAAAGAAGAAAATGCAAACACACACACAGAGCAAAGATAAATACTAAGACCTGCCAAATTAAGTGAATAATTTTCATGCATTTATTTACTATACTGTTAACCACCCAATTACTGCCATTCTCTGGGCAGTACACAACAACAAAAAACACAGTCTAGATATTGCACAAATAAAAGCAGCAAAAACAAGATAAAACCAGCAGCAAATAATAAAATCATTACAACAACATACAACCATTACAACAACATACAACCAAAGCAGCAAGCCCTTCCTAGGATACTTTGGAGAATAAACAGATCTTCAGCTGGAGCCAAAAGGACTGCAATGCCAGTGCCAGGCAAGTCCCTCTGGAGAGAGAATCCCACACACAAGTTTCCACTTCCTCTTCTAGCCAGCCACCTCACTGATTTGGCAGCGGCACCTAGAAGAGGCCTCCAAAGATGAACTTATAGGTGGTTGATTGGTGGGAACCTGTGGACATTACCTGCTTGTGCACTGCACACTGATTGCGTGCGAACAGTTCTGAAAAGAACTGCAGATTCACGTCCGCTTCAGTTAGTGAGCTCCCAATCCATCTAAAGGATTTTTGTTAAAAGATTAACCAGTGCAGTGCAGGAGTGACGAGCGTCAGACTGACTATGGGGGATTCAGGTTCAGATTCCTCTCAGCCACGATACTCTCCTCATTTTTTCTCAGCCTATCCTACTTCACAGGGTTGCTGTGAAGATAAGGTAGTGTGGGGCATCCTTGCCCCCTCTTGCTCTTTGGAGGAAAGGCAAAATATACACGCACTGAGTAAGAAAATACACCTATCCCTCCAGCTGCTGAGTAACGCTTCCCTGTGGTTGTATCCATACTCTGGGAACACACTTTGCCTGCCCACATCCCGTTTTCTCGTTGTAACCAGGCCCTGGGGGTGTGATGGAAAGGAATCCAATCCATCCCGTTGCTCAGCAAACAGAACCCCAGAGCTGCCTTTCTGGAGATCTTATCATGGTGGCCTTTCGTCGGCAGGACTGCTGCTTTGCCCTGGACAGGCCAAAGTAATGAAAGCAGACAAGACAGAGTTCAGTTAGAGCCCCTGTGACCAAACCCAGATGAAATGCTGAACCTCGGAAGAGAAGTCAGGAAAGTATCAGCATCCACAGCCAGCACTGGCAGATGGAGAGCCCAGGAGTTTCTGTGGGGCGAAGTTGAAGCAGAAAAGACGTCACAGGAAGCAGCCAGCCCTGGCTTGCCTGGGAGCCCTTTGTTGAGTCAATAAAGTTTAGCCCCTTGACCTTTCAAAGAAGGGCTGATGGCTCTCCAAGTCAGCCTGAAATTTGGGGGTTAGTCTTTGTCTCTGGATCGTTCCGGGAAGGTTTGCAACATTAATCTAGCTAGCTGTGATTGCAATCAGAGCTCTGCTGAAGAGATGTGGGCCTCAGGTCCACAGGGCCAAAAAGGAAAAAAGGCACAATTTGCATCAAGAATCTGCCTTCTGCTTCTCGCAGGGAAAAGACAAGGTGTAAATACAACAACGCTAATGCCCAAATCAATTATTCCCTCACTATGCACTGACCCCAGTTGCATCCTTATCTGAGCCACCCATTCCTGGACCAAGCCCCATAAGACTAAATCCCATACGGACACTGGTGGTGGCACAGTGGTTACAGCGTCAGCACAGGGCCTTCTGCCATGAAGCTCCTTCTGTGAGTTTGGGTCTATCACTGACTTTAAGCCAAACCGACCTCATAAGGTTGTTGTGAGGATAAAATGGAGGCGGAGGATGCAAGGCAGCCTGTGATCCTTGCAGGAAAGGGGCTAGGAATGCAAATAAATACAATGTATGCCAGCTGCATATATCCCCCTGTGCTTGGCACAGCCAAGGGAGATGCGTTGGAGGAGCCGGGAAAACCTCATTCTCAGGATAAAACCCCACCGGCTCTTCTGGGTGCTCGTCTGGAGTCTGTGAAGCAGAGGCACAGTTGAGGGCAAGGGGACTACCTAGCCCAGCATTCTGTATGCTACAGTGGCCACAAGCACAGCGTTCATTCAACACCACCTTCCTGCCCATGTTCCCCAGTGGCTGCAGAACCATGGGCCACCCTGCCTTGGAATCGTGTGGAACCCCTGGGATTGTGTGGCCAGGACCCGGAGGCAGGATGGGAAGGAATCCAATCCATGGGATGCCAGAGTTGGCCAAGGCGTGCTTTCAGCCCTGGAGGCAGCCTAACACCATCAGGACTAGTAACCACTGATCACTTTATGGAGCATTAATTTGCCCAGTCTGCTTCAAAAGCTGTCCAAATGGGTGGCCACGTGGCAGTGACTCCGCAGAGGAAGGGAGGCAGTCCCTAGATGTGGTATCTTCGTCACGTATCATTTATAAACCTGCATCATGCCTCCCTCCAGTTCTTGAGTCATAATTAAAGAATGCCGTTAAGCATGCACGGCTGGAGTTGCTTGCTGTCCTGGATTAGCCAGGATAGGATCTCTGGAAAGCCTCCAGAGCAGGGGGTGGACTAGCAGGCAGGCCCGGAAAGGTTGCGGGACCTTTTCCTGCCAGTGGCCTCCCCACTTCACAAACTTCTGGAATGAAAGAGGACAGAGTTTCCTTGCAGGATGCAATATTTTGATATGCTTAACTCCTGTCAACAGATTTCCCCTGCCCTACGCCGGCTGTGACCTTGGTGAGTTTCTCCAAAACCATTCTGAAGCGAATCCTGCCAAGGCAAGCCCGGTTGGCTGGCATTTAGAGACACCAATGCCCGATATGAGCTCTCATCTGACTGCCAGAGTGAAAAAGTCAGACAGGTGCTCCTCTGCTCATCATTGTCTCGGGGGTTCAGTTCACGGGCTGTGCCACCAACGCCTGTCCACAGTGTCCCTGAAATTAAATGCTGCAGGTTTACAAGGGGCCGGCCGGCCGGCCGGCCTGCCCCTCCCTCCCTCTCCCTCTCCCTCTCCCTCTCCCTCTCCCTCTCTCTCTGTTAGTGGTAAAACTTGAAGTGCAGATGCTTATTTTGACCACTTCCATCGTCACGGCCCCAAGTTGAGCCAAGCAGGTAGACTGCTGTTGATTCACAGCGAACTAACTAGCCATCCCAAACTGCGTTCTGTTTACATGCTGGGCCTCCCTTCTAAAACCAGGAAATAAACAAACAAAAGCACAAGTCTGCACATGAGCGAAGCACCTGCTGACTTGCTTCAAAGGGGGCTTGAAGAGCATTTCAGAGGGAAGTTATGATATAATTTTCCCAAATGCGCCCATGCATTCTCGGCGCTGCCGGAGGGCCTAGAATTGCAGTACTTACACCCGAGCGCAAAACCCTGCTTGTCACAGTGCCGGTAAACAGTGTGCCACATCACATTGCCCAGCTGCCTGGCCGGGCTTTGGTTCTGCACGGAGCCCCAGAGCAGCAGCTGCTCGCAACCGTAGTCAGCCTTGCAGGCATCTCACAGTGAAACTTCCTGGCCTGGCCAAAAGCAACATGTCGGTGCTAGCTTGCGGACACTGGCAGAAACAGAGGATTCTCCCTCTCTAGCAGTCGGGATGTCTATGGCAGTCACAGGGCAATGGGCTTCCATCTCGTATCAGCCACCTGCATTTCTGTACCAAGCATGGAGGGAAAATGGCACACTCTCTCTCCTCCGTGCCCTTCCTCACTCACCTGCACGCAATTCTTTTCTCCTGTGCCAGGTGAATGCCGAATGCATGTGTGATTGCACAGAGAGATACAGGAGCTTGATCTGAGCAAGAACAATGCCGTGCTAGTAAAGTGAAGGGTGCCAGTCCTGCCTCTGAAACCCATTTCCTCCCACCCGAAAGCCAGATCGAAGAAGATAAGCTGGGAGATACGACCAGGTGTCCTGGAAGCTGAGCTCCAAGTATTAGGTTTCCCCCAGCAAGTCTGCACACCTTGCAGATTCCTCCTCGGCTGCTCTGTGGGAACCTGTTGCCTCACCTGTACAGATTAGGGCATTAAAGATGCAAAGGGAGTGAGTACTCCAAGCAGGTTTCATGCCACAGATTCAGGCCTCCGCCAGAGGCACAGCTTGCATCGGTAAGGCATTCTGATAGTCAGTATTGATCTGGAATGCTCTAACAGACCGAGAGCGAATGCCTAGGTTCCCAGGAACACCATCAAGAGGAGGCATGGCTGGGCATCTGCCCAGAGCCTGCCCTTCTGGACTTTCACCACTGCAGCCTGCAAGTGCAGGCTGCGCCTTGCTCCCACCCTGGCTCTCTGCCTATCAGAGAAGCAAGCGGTGGTCAGAACGGGAAAGAGCGAGGAGTGGCAGCAGGCGATGACGACAGTATTGAGCAGGAGGAACTCCCTGCGGGGCAGTGAGGGTGCTTCGCGAGATCAGCACGGATTTTTAATAACAGCAGCAATAAAACGACTCTCCTCCAGCCCTACATTACCTTTCTTGGTTAAGCAGGTTTGCATGTCTGCATGGAAGGATGGTGGGGTGTGATTCGTCCTTGTACGGAAAACCAGTGGCAAGGCTTAGAATGTGCCTGGGAATTCTGCCAATTAAATGGCATCTAATCAGAAGTTAGATGGCAGTTAAGTGGCAATACTAGGTTAGATGGCATGAAAGAAGCCCAGCACCACCCTGAGACATTATGAAGGGCGGGACATAAAAGCTTTAAAATTAATAAAATAAGCATGACCTAAGGCAGATTGTTAAGGTCTGTGATGGGAGTGAGGAACCTCAGGCCAAATCCAGGACTCCGGTGGTCCCCAGGGAGCTGCCCTACTTTCCTGGACAATCTCCAATGGTTGGCTGGTTTCCCAGCTTTTCTGCAGTTTCCCCCCATTGGCACCAAAAGCTTCAGACCAGATTTGCTGGGGTTTCTGTTTTGTATTTTTGAGCCCTGTCCTTTTGGTTTGACCACTTTATCTTTGGTGCTGACCTCCAGGAGAGCTTTTCAGAAATTGACCTGCCCCTCCAGTAGATATTAAATATATTGATACCCCTATCAGTTAAGATCTGTTGTACTTGGGAAGAGAGACTTTGAACACACTAGAAGAGGGAGATGAGTTCTTACTGGATCACACTGTATGATCCACACTGGAGCCAGGGTCAGACTAGATGGCCTGGGAGGCCCCTTCTGATTTGCTCTGTTTCTCTGTCACCATCACCAACACTTACTCGCTTCTAGTGAATAAGAAGAGGGTGGAGAACAAAGGAGCATGTTTGAAAGGTGCCACCGCGGAGATAATTTTTTCTTTCTGGCTTTCTTATAACTAGCTCTTCCCGTCAAGCCAACAGGAAAAGATCCTCATAAGGAAAATGGGTTGAAATGCTTGGATCTTTTGGCTGATAGTGGCAATTCCAAGAGACTTAGTAGGAAAACAAACCAAGAATGCCTAGCCTGCCACAAATCCCACGCTTTGATAAGCCCCTTAGAAAGCTTGCTTTGAGATAAACGGTCTGCATGTGACTGAGCAGAGCCCAGCTGCATCGGTGTTGCGCGAGTTCAGACAGGCTGCGATATGGCACAGAAAGTCTCGCCTCCAGAGGAGCGTCGCTGTGTGGTGGCAGAGCTCAGTTCAAGCCCCACAGGAAGGTCTTCAGAAACCCCCAGGCCTCTCTCTTCCTGTCAAGAACGTGCAACATCAAGAGCAGGTCTTTGATGCAGGCCATAGGCGTATCTCATGCATCCAGGCCAAATCGAGGGTTCTGCCATCCTACTTCGCTCTGATGCAAAAAGGGAAGGACTCAAGGGAAGGAAAACGGGAATCGGAGGGAATCATGGAAAGAAATTCTCCGGGAGCGAGCCCTCCAGTCCGCAGAGGAGGAGCAGGCTGCTTCCAGAAGGACCGTTGGCCATCCCACGGCTCTGCCTCACGCACATGATCTTGCAGGGGCAGCAGCTTTCCCAGGCTGTATGGCCCTCTAGCGGGAGCCCTCCCAAGGAACCTAGACGGTTGGGCACTATAGAAAGGAAACTGATGTGTGTGAGTCACCTCACGTTCCTCACAGGAAAAAGGCAAGCTGTAAATACGATAAACAAAGGCTTCCCACGTTTCTTCTGTCTTGGTAGCTTTTCAGAAAGAGAAAATAAAACAGCTGCGCAGCACCTTCTGACTGGTAGGAGCTGTCCAGGTGCAGACTCCCATAGAGGTTATCAGTTTATTGTTTATTTAAAGCATTTATATAGTGTTTGATTAGCATAATGCTCTCAAAATGGTTTACACATTATTAAAATATACCACATCATTTAACAGTAGCAGCGGGTCACCCTCTCAATGGCAGAATCTTGCAAAGCTGCCACGTGCCAAGCCCTTTAAGTGGCCTGCCTCGCTGTGGGTCTGGTGCCAGCTCCAGGTTTGGGAGGGCAAACCCCCCAGGTTTGGGGAGGGGGAGGCCCAGCAGGTCCCTTCCACCAGGGAGTCGGCGTTCTCACTGCCGTGGCTGCCAAGCGCCCGTGCTCTCATCTCCCTCCTCCTCATCACTGCAATCCCATCCTTTCTTGGCAGGTAGAAGGCCAGCCAGCCGCTGCATCCGTGGCTCCTCTTCCACCCGTCCCTGCAGACCGAGCAAGACCACCGGATCCCCCGGCTGCAGCCTGCCCCGAATGGTGAGTTGAACTGTGTTTCTGTCTACGGGCTCTTAGTTCTTTCTAAATGTGCACCTATACATATCTATCAGTCTGTGCCTATTTTATGCAGATTGGTGTCTTCGTTGGTCATCTTTTTAGAGAAACAGTTCCCTTTTTGGCGATTCTTAAGTGGCAGGAGGGTGGAATAATGGACTCTTGGGGTCTTTTCCTAATTTTCCGTGATTTCATGGAAAGAAAGGGCAAGGAAGGCATTCAGATATTTCCCACCCAGCTATTTTCAGAGGGCTGTATACATTAAGACACACATTCATTCATGTATACATGTATTTATAGGCCACCTATAAATGCTGAGGCCTTCCTAGGTGGACTAGAGTACATAAAACATATTAAACAAAACACATTAAAACCTATTAAAACATCTAAGAAATATAAAAAGGGCCACAGCATTCAGGCTAAGTGTTTAAAAAATCCTTAAAAACTATGTCTTTGCCTGGCGCTGGAAGGAAAATAAAAATGGCGCCAGGTGGATTTTCCTAGGGTGGAAGTTCCAGAGATGGGGAGCGGCAGCGGAAAAGGCCCTGCACCTGGTTGCCACCCCCTCATCTCCCCGAGGGGCGGGTCCCGCAGAAGGGCCTCCTGAGCTGATCTGAGAGGGCAGGTAGGGTTATATGGGTGCAGATGGTCCTTTCGATACATTTACTTATTTCATTTTTATATTGTCCAAGTAAAGCTTCCATATAGCCTGGAAGGCCTGATCCTGCCTAATCTTAGAAGCTAAGCAGGGTCAGGCCTGGTTGAAATCTGGATGGGAGCCTTAAATGCTGTGAACTGCCCAGAGAGCTTCGGCTACGGGCAGTATAGAAATGTAATGCACTATTAATAAAAGTTAAATCAGATAGCAGAAGATCAGAACTCTTAGATATATTAACTTTATTAGGCATATGGTCTCCAAATCAATGGTTAAAGAGAACTATACAGCATATAAATTCTATACATTGGCAGACTTGCTACAACCCCCTCCCCTCTCACCCTTACACTCTCACACACACACAGACACACAATCTTGCAAAAATACAACTGAACCCTGCTGCAACACAGTTGCAGCCTCAGCCATGTACCTTTGGACACCCTCCCTTCTCTTTCCAAGATTCTGCTCTGAAAATCTTTGCTGCTCTGCCCCAAGATCCAAACCCCCCAAGCCCTTAGAGAGGACAAAAGAAGGAAGCCTGGAAATGACACACTTACAAAAGCAACCGTCCCTGGGTGAGTTTAAACATTGGACCTGCTGGAAAATAGCAGCTGTTCCTGAACACTCCATGGTTACAAAATTAAATAGCTAGGTTTTTTTTTAACTCTTCTCCCTCCCACAGCACAAAGGTACCCACATTTACATATTAAATAGAATATTAAACAGAAAAGCTACATGTAAACTTTGCTGGATGCTGGCAAAAAGATGTACTTGAACCTCTCCATCCCAAGGGCCATGGTGACAGAGTACATTCTGCGCTCGCTCAGAGGCACTGCTTTAGTTATTGCTTAAAGGCTCAGAGGCAGATGCTCACACAGCAGATGCTGAACTCAGAAGAGGTTTTCCAGGGCTGAGCCTCGGTGACGTAGAAAAATGAAAAGGAGGTCACACGATCGCTCTTTTTAGTGGCACAATTACTATATCATTTTCAAATAATATGCCCATTGACCCATCCTCATTTCTATCATCTCAGAATTACCTACCGTGCTGTCCATTTTGGCCTGTCATCACAGAAGCCAGCACCCTTGTCCACCAGCAGTTCCCTTGTCCGTTTCTTTTTCAAGGGTTTATCTAAAGAAACCCAGCTGTCTCCCACCCCCAAATTCTTAATACTGTGGAGAATTCAGTTACACAAGTGTATTGTTCTTATCACCCTCCAGTACTCCTCAGTGCCCAGCAAACATCCAATTTTTCACCTAAAGCCTTTGGACTGAGTCGCAAAAGAGAGCGCACTGCTACACTCCAGCACCCTGGCTAATGCTGGCTTTCCCTTCCGGGTAGAAGAAGGGGTGAACTGCTTGATCCGACGCAAAGAGCAGAGCCTCAGTCCCCACCCACCACAGATGTGAGAAACATCTGTGGAGGAGCTGCTTCTTCCTCGTGGCTCCCATAAATGCAGGCACGATGGATCGGAGCCGGTGCGGTGCGCAGATTTTCACTCACATGTCCAATTCCTTCCTCAGACCAGTTTTTAACACCACCACACCAGAATGTGAAGGAGCAGGGGCTGGGGTCCGTAAATAACTGGGAAAGTCACAGTTGTCCCTGAGATACAGAGACCTCCTGGAGGAACAGGGAAGAAGAGGGCAGGCACACGTGGACTGCCGTTCAGTGTGCATTATCTAGCTCAGAAGCAGATAATTGTGCAGACACACAGTCGTTTTTGCGATACCCTCCTCAGCAGTGCAAGCTGCCCTCCTTCAGCAGTCGTAAATCTCAGCAGTCATGTCAGGGGCGCGTGCTGGTTGCTTTGTCTCCGTGTCCCAGATGTTGTCGTAACTGAAGTCACTCTGAAAACTTTGAAGCTCGGCGTAATCGTGGTAGGCAGAACCGAGCCGTTCCCGTCCACTTTCAGGCAGGTCATATGCCCCAGTGCTTTCGTCTATCAGTGGCAAGGGATCAGAAAAAGAAGGGGGGGTTGAAATATTAATTTTTACGATTATTTATTTGAGGTTGGTTGAATTCACCTTTTAAATTTGTTATTTCGTTTTGAGAGGCTGCAGACTGCCAATGCTTATCTAGACAGATTCCAGAGCAATGGACACTACACAGTTAAAACAAAATATTTTTTTAGAATACATTAAAATGTTAAAAGTGAGATGACATTAAAGCCATGGCTTGTAGTAAGGAAGGCTTCCCAGAACAAAGGTGGCTTTAGCAGGCATCAAGCACAGAACGCTGTCAGGTTATGCCTGACCGCCAGAGGGAGAGAACTTCCATATAATGGGGGCCGTCACTTTGAAGACCCTCCTCAAGGTGGAGTTGACTCCAGCCACGGGTCCCTGTGGAACCACCAGGGGAACATCCCCCTAGGTTGGCCCGGGAGAAGGCTTAGGAATGGAACACTAGAACCATAAACCTCGCCTGGCAGCTTTAAAAGGTTCCTTATTTTCTTTCCTTATTACGTATTTCAGCTGCCCAGTAAGAGAGGTTCATTGGTTGAATTGCAATTACTTAAAAGAATAAAAGACATCCAAGATCTTTAACCATGCAGCAATAGATAGAAGTAAAGATCTATAAAACAGCCTTGAAATCTAAATACAAAGTCTCTAAGATCAGGGACTCACCTGAAGTTGGCAGGGAAGCCATCAGAAATTCATCTTGGGATGAGGTGCTCTGATTGATGTGGGGTGGGAACGGCTGGGAGAGAACAACAACAAGATGAACGTCTAAAAAGCCACAAAGCCATTTTGCTTTATGACTCTGTAAACCCGGCTTGTTCGTAGCCTGGCGAAAAGTCTGTCCCAACTTGCCCTCTTTCGTTTGAGATTTGCAGCCATGCTGGGTCAGTGTAAAAGCATCACGCTGTAAGATCACCTCCCGTGGATCCAGCCCAAATACCCACCTAATCCAGTGTTTTGCCTCGCGCAAACAGAGAAGCCCACAAGCAGGACATGAAAGCACTCTCTCTCTCTCTCTCACACACCCACACACATCGCAACCCCACTTCTGCATCCTGCAACTTGCGGTCATTGACAGCAGCTCCTGGTGTATGCTCTATTTTAACTCCTCCATCATCCAGTTCCCTTTTCTGCCACCTAACCTAGAGGGGGGCCCAACATCCACCGATTTCCACAAATGGAACATTTAGCTAAATGCTGACTTGGGCAGGAGTCATCCATTTTCTTCACTGTTTCCACTGAGTAGCAGAAACAGTTGTGCCACAGTTGTTTCCGACACGAGAGAAGACGCAGGGAGTCCCCGAAGGCAGCAGTCAGTCCTCGTCCAAATTTCAGAACCCCTCCCTGGTGGCTCATTCAGACCTCTGAACACCTGTTCAGACCACCCGTGGGAAGGAAGAAGGAGCAAGGGACTGAGTCAGAAATGAGAAACAGAAGGAGAGAAAGATGCCCACTGGCATATTACACGAGAGGGGTCGTGCCCCTTGGCTGAAGAAGGTCTTGGTGCAGGTCCTGAACCCGATCCACAAACTCTCCCAAGAAGGCATGGTCCTCTAAACCCGGGTGGTGGAGGAGCAAAAGCCCAGTGAAAAGTCTTTGGTCTGCACCTACCGTGGTCAAATACTTGGCATCCGAAGAAGGCATTCCTGAGAAATTTAAAACAGGGCCGGGGAAGCCACATCTCTGAGAAGTTGTTGGCTCTTGCCAGTGGTTGCTGGGCACAGGTTGGGACTTCTTCTTCTGCACCGGAGCACGATGGGAGACGGGGACAGACACCGGCATGGCTGGGTAGCCGTCGTGCTGTTCCGCAGTGCTCTGCCCACAGCGTCTCATGAACTGTCAAGCAAGCAGGAGATTGCTGGACTTAGTTCAGAGAAAGACACACAGCCTCTCTGATCCCATTTCTAACAAAGCCTCGCATAAGGCCTGAAGACCGCAACTGTTGGGAGCCTGCAGCAAAACCCTCCTTGGAACTTACCGGGAGCCACACCCCATCCCTGCCACAGGGGGAATTGCCACCGCTGGGAAGATTGCTGCCCCGGTGGAGGCAGCCACCAGCACACATGGCTGAACTGCGGGCCCAGGATGAGCTCTGTGGCAGAGTTAGACAGACTTCCCCTTGCAGAACTGTGGGCACTCCAGACTTCCCCAAACCTGTTGTCACCAGATGACTCTCCAGTCCCAGCTTCCCCCAGCCAGCACTGGGGACCCACAACAGAAGCCGAAGAAAATAAGGGCAAGCAGTGAATCAAACTTTAACCTTTAATCATCTCACTTTGGGATATTCCTGTCTTACACCTTTGGCCTCACGTCTGAGGTTGCACCATAAGCTTGGTGCATATAAATACCTCTTCCAGGAAGTTCGAATCCGCTGCTCCGTGCGAAGAGGGAGAACCGGGTGTGTAGGGGTCGGCATACATAGGGGAACAAGACAGAGGTGTGCTTTCCACATTTTTGGATGACACGCCATTCTGGCTTCTTGGCAAGTTCCATTGTTTCAACTGCAAAGAGAAAAGAGTTTCAGGAACACAAAGACGCTTTGCCTTGCAAAGAAATGGGTTCCGGTGCAGGATAACAAAGGCAGAATGTGACTCTAAAATAAAAATCAGAATATGTCCAGCTTTACCCCCAAGTGGAAATCCTGCACAAGTGCTGGAAGATAGAAAGTGGGCCTTACACCTTGGTCCATCTAGCTCAGCACTGGCCATATTTTGACAGTGCTCTCCAAGGTCCCAAGCGGGGTTTCTACTAGCTCTCCCTGAAGATGCCAGAAATGACGCAGAGCCTCCACCATGAAGCTCTGGTTCCTCTTCTCCTCGCTGCCCGGAGACAGCCTTCCATGGAGAAGCAGAACCACTGCGACACAGTACCCCCCCCCACCCCCAACGCAGTTAGCCCAGAAGGATCCCCCATTGATGGTACTGAAAGCCTCTGAGAGGGTCGCTGAGCCTGTTTCTCTCCCAGCACAGCTCACCCTACAGAGTGACTGAGGCAGCTCCCAAGCAAAGGCCAGGCCCGAACCCACTGAAATGGCGCCAAACAATCCTCAGATCTAATTTCAGTCCTCTGTTGACTTACATGGTTCGTGTCCAAATGCAACGGGGGAACTGTGGGGTGTTGTTTTTGTTGCTGCTGCTGCTGTGGTTGTACTAAGGCTGTGTAAGGCTCATTGTAGACTGCAGATAACCCTTCTCCACCGGGATGCTCAGAGATGAGCCGAAAATGGCTCCTTTCAGAGTCCTGGCTGTTGGGCTGTGGCTGCTGAGTTGCGGGGGCAGATTTGCCTTTAGACTTCCGAGAGCTTCCTTTTCTTTTCATTTCAGTTTTTGGCATCCCTGTACTTGTGGTGGCTGGATTTCCTGGGCCCTGCAAGAATAGGACGCATTGTTTGTTCATTCATCGATTTATTTAACTGCTTGATTTATTTTCATTCAGCTCTTCCCCCAGTAAAAGATCCAAGAGCAGTTTACAAAGGTTCATATTGGGATATGAAGACATGACACAGAGGGAAAAGGGATTGGGGGTGGGGGTGGAGGAAGGAAAAACAACATGTAAGCAAAGCTTTCCGTGAGCATCCCCTTCTCAAGGTTCCTTACTTACATAGGCTGCTTGAGGCAGAGGCCCATCTGGCAACCGGGGTTCTGGCATCACCCGAAATGACTGTTTCTCGGAACGGGAGCCCGTGCTATTCTGGGAGTGATGTGTAGAGGCCGGTCCCTTCCCGCCCGATGCCCAGGAGTTTGTCCGTCCATCGGAGGTCAGAGAGCCTCTCCCGCTTCCTGAGAACTAAACCAGCAAATAAGGAAAACATGGGTGGGGAAAGAGAGAATTACAGGTTCGTACAGGTTGCAACGTTAGAACCGATTTTCTTTGGCCAGTGTGGCTCAACGGAGAGTCTGCAGGCTGCAGACAATGAAGATCCAGGTTCGAATCCTGGCCATTTATGAGGATCCCTGAGAGCTCTTCAGTCACCCAAATCCAGACGCATCGTGCACATAAGTTAGCTGTGGAAGTACAACAGAAGTGGCACCTGTGTTTACTGGCCAAAGCAATGTTTAACCTGCTTTTCTTCTCCTAAAAGGGCAGCTCAAAGTGGCTGCCAAAATTTAAAGGCAAGCACTACGCATTAGCATGCATTAACTAATTGAAAACACCAGAAAGCACCCGTGCAAAACTGACCATCCCTCTCTGTCCTTCTCCTATAATACCGAGACCCAGGGGCATCACCCCATGTGGATGATGGGTGGGAGATTCTGGACAGCGAAAAGGAGCAACAGAGGCGCATGATGGAATCCACGGCCACAGGAAGCAGTGATGGCCCCCCGTCTGGGTGACTTTCAAAGGGGATTGGACAGGTCCGTGGAGGAGAAGGCGATCAGTCGCACCTGTCCTGATGCTCTGTGCCAGCTCCAGCATCCCAGGCAGCGTGCCCACGTCCGCTCACCGGGGAGCAGAAAGGTGCCGTTGCACTCATCCTGCTTTTGGGATCCCGTAGGCACCTGGCTGGACACTGCGGCAGCTGGGCTTGATGGACCGTTGGCCTCACCCAGAAGAGCTCTTGTTTTAAACGCTCAGATAAAAATAGGCAAAAGCAGAAGCAAGTCCTTATTTAAAGCGAAATAGCTTCACTGGACAGCAGGACACAGATGGGCGCAATCTCTCGGGACACGAAGTTCCGTGACTGAGGCTGTGCCCCCGAGAAACCCTCCTGCACATTGCCACGAACTGGAACTCAGACATTATGATGCACATTAACAACCAACTGCGATACCTAATCGGTTAAAGTATGCCATTGTTAATTTATTTGACATTAAAACCAATTAAAACCAGTACAAGACATAATTACAGAGAGATTGGGCAGGACAGTCACTCAGGGAAGGCCTGGGTGAAGACATGGGTTTTCAGAAGGACAATATGCTTCACTCCTCCCGGATAGATAGATAGATGGATACAAGGGAGGCGCTCATTCCACCACAAAGAAGGTGCAGCTCCCATGCATAAAAATTGTTCAAGGAAGTCACACGTACATAAATATTTTGCGGAGGCTTTTCTGTTCTGTTCTAAGGCAAATATTCAAGTACGGTTACATGGTATAGCCCTTTCAGAGCACTTGCAATGACCCTGCATAGTAGGCCAAGGGATGTACAAGTGCCGAATCTGTGCTTTGTGGATTGTCTTCTGTGCCATCGATCATTCATCAATGGAATCTTTTTTTAACCAGAATTTCATTCCATTTGCACTCATTTACATCCTTGCTAACTGAAAACCAGTCTGCAATTCTGCAGAATCCACACGACTCAGAAAAAAAGAGTCTGCTGTAAAAACACAGGTCGGGTTCATAGAAACTGAAACTCATTTGAATCCATTGCAGATTCTTCTGACACCCTGTGGTAGCCCAGATTTATTTTATTTACTATATTTATATCTGGCCTTCTTTCCTTTCATGCCTCCCGCATCGCAACTCAAACCAAACTGTTCAGAAGACACATTCACTGTATGCAAATCTACTAAAGCTGTGGGAACCCCCCCTTACAAACCAAGATAATTCAGTATTTCTATTCTTTTAATCTGAAAAGAGCTGTTAGGATTGAAAAACTCACATGCAACCCAGTTGAGGCCCACACGGTATGATGGAAAAGGAACAGAACATTACCTGAGCCAGGTGCGCTGGTTTTGGTCCTGTGAAACTCTCTGATCCAGAAAGAGAGGAGTCGGCATTGCGGAACTGAGCTGTCTTGAGGCAGTAAAGCCACTCCTGGTAATCTTCATAACTGGGACAAATCACCCGAATAGAGTTGATTAATCGGCCTGCAAAGAATATAAATTGCATCTGCTTGAAGATGGCGCATTTAGGATATGTCACTCAACCCTGCCTGCAAGCCCAGTTCAAACCAAGCTTTGGCAGCTGCCTCACATGTGCGTTTATTCCAATTATCTACTCAGATTAGTTATCTCCTCAAATTAGTCATGGCTCTTCAGAGTCTTATTCAAACATCTTTCTCACTGCTTGCTACTCCATCCTTTTAACTGGAAATGCTAAGAGCTGGTCTTGATTTCGTCTTCAGATGCTCCACCACTCGGTTTCAGGCCCTCCAACAGTTTCTGATTCTGGGTTATCGATTCAGACATTACAGCAAACCATATGTCAGTTTCCTTAACCATCATTTGGCACAATGTTGGCCCACGCTTTCTTGGAATCTGTTTTCTAGCCTAGACTTATAAAGCCATGCCTGTTCTGAAGCTTAACTCCTTCTATGGCTTGATGTAGCCACCTGAGAGAACACCTCTTCTGCTAGAACAGAGGACGGCTTGCAATCTTTGGTGTACCTTCTATTAAAAATGAGGTTTTCTGGTTTTCTTCAAACTGCACTTGGATTGCGTTCAGGGGCAATTCTCCCTGTTTGTAGAAAAAAAAACCAGAATGAGGAAGCTTGAAAAATTAAATGCATATCCACATATATGGCTGACAAGAGCCCCCAGGAGTTCTCCCCATAAGACATGAGTACATATATTTAAGAAACCTGCTGCTGATAGTTTCTCTTCCTTTCTGGAGGCATGGCCAAGCCTGTCCTTCCTTCCCTTTGTGTAGGCTGCAGAGCCAGGCAGTCTAATGTATGGTTCCTCGGGAGAGAGTCTCCTCCATAAAAACTCTGCAGCCAGGACCACATTCCTTGGAAAGCAGGGTCGATGGCTGCCCTGTGAGTTGCGCTGGCAGGCTCACCCCCCCGGACATATTTCCCGTGCCCAGGAACCACTGCTGGACCCACAGAAAGACAAACAAGGGAGTCTTAGATGAAGCCAAGCCAGAACTTCCCCTAGAAGCAGAAGTGAGAAAACTGAGGCAGCCGTGCCTTGGACACACAACGACAAGGCCGGACTCCCTGGAGAAGACAATCCTGCCAGGGAAAGTTGGAGGCAAGGCAGGCCGGGATTGGCTCCGTACAGGAAGCCGCAGCCCGGAATCGGCAAGAGCTGAGCGGGGCCGTTGTGGGCAGGGTGTTCTGGAGGGCCTTCATTCATAGGGTCGCCCAAGTCAGAGGTGACTTGATGGTACACTGCCGCAGCGGCAACAAGGCGCATTGCACCTGGCCAGGCGATGCTGGTGGCAAGGAGTCACACTGCCTACCCGTTCGCCCACTGGCTCTCTGCCTGTCCAGCAAGAAAGTGACACAGAGGATGAGGAGACGGAGCATTTTTTCTTACAGTCCCATGCGCTTATCTTTGAAAGAGCCCGCACTGGCTGCACAAGCACATGCAAGGGATTCAGGCCCAAACAAAGCTGGGCCCACTTGCCTGATCTGCAGCGAAGGGCTGGACGCTGCAGAGCTGAAGGATCCCATGCCCTGAGGGACTTTGTTCCTTGAGAATCACCCCAGCCTTACAGGAGTCGCTAATCCAAACCACTTGCTCAGGGCAGGGCTGCAAAGCCAGTTTTATTTTCCAAGTAGTTTTCAAGAAGGTGGAAATCTTGCAAGGAACAAAGCTCTGTTGCACACAGAATCAGACCAAAGCGCGTGCTCATCTACATAAGGACGGAAGCAGGAGGGGAAAGCGCAACACAGAAAAAAGATGCGCCGGAGCCAGTTTGCAAGAGATGATCAAACCGAAGAGAGAGGCCAGGCAAACATGTTTGGAGGTGGTTCTGCCACTCAGACGGAATGTGTCTCAGGAGTGCGGAAGCAAACACTCGATGGCACGCCCAGGACCTCTGCTGGCACAGAGACACCACCTTGAGGCATTTAGCCAGCAGGCACTGGGGAGCAGGGTAACAGGGTTCTGCCCTGCCTGTGGGGGGAACTGGGGAACAGATGGCAGGACTAGCCCTGGGTCCGAGGGAGCAGGGTTGCTCTGAACAGCTTAGGTTCTTTGGCTGACTCAGGGCTCCCGCACATTCTCCTCTGGCACGGACTCGCACGGGGCTTCTGCACTGGCCCAGTCCCAGAGGAGGAGCTGGAAGAAGCATTTTGAGCCAGAACTGAGGCTGCGACTTAGACCAGCTGCTTTCAAAAGCGGGGGGGGGGGGGGCTGCTGACGCCCAGAAGGCATTATCGCTGCGGATGGTCTCTCATCTTTATCTTCCCTCTTCATCCACACAGTTGATGCTGGCTGTACAGTCTGTGGATCTGGCCGGCAAGTCTTGGGGAAAAAGGGGAGGGCCGCTCTTGCCCCCCTCCCACTGCGCCCAGCTGTCTGGTGCCACCTCTCCTAACCTCGTAGCTCATGGGTTCAGCTCACTTGCCCTTGCTTCGCTGCTTCTCCTGCGTGGGACAAGCAACCATTCCTCTCCAAGGCATGCATACTGCTTCAATTAAAATCTCCAGAGCATTATGAAAGGATCATTTCCACATGGCCTGCTCTGACAGGAACACCTACATGCCCACCCCAGTTACTAATTGCCCTGCAAGGCGAGGCTCCCGGATGCCCCAGCTCTGGCCTATCACAGCGTCAGCCTCAGGGCAGGCGTGAGACGAGTCTGGCAAACCTCAGAGGATGCCTGGGCAGAACGTCAGCCCATCAGAGTCCTGTGGAGCAGAGGGCGCCTCTGGGATTCTTATCGTGCCTTCTCAGATGCATCTCGAGGTCCAGTGCATTGCTGTGGCAACCGGAATTCCCAGCAAGGAATGAAACGGGTGGGTTGGTTGGTGCAAAATGTACGCACAGGGAGATAAAGCAGAATCGTATATATGAGGGAAGTCTGGCGTGGGCTGGGATTCCTTTTAAGCAGGGATTTGGGAACAGAGGGACCATCCTCCTCTTTATAACTGGGACACAACTGGCATTTAAAGGTACGTGCCCCAGGATATGGCAGTTCGGTTTAGCTCTCTTGTTGAGTAGCCGTTGATCGACCTTGCCCCCATGAAGTCTGAAAAAGCTTTCCAAGCTAGAAGCGTCCCCCACATCTTGAGGCAGTGGATTTTGTCAGAAGCAGGCATGAGGACAGGCATCTTGCGTGGGTGCATTTGCGGGACTGCAGGAACGGTCAGGGGGCAGTAACTCACTGGAAGAGCCAGGCTGCATCCACAAGCACTCAGTACTGTCCTTCTTAAAGACTGTCTCCTATCTTCCCTCATCCATTTAAAAAAACTACTTTTTCAGCCCATCCAACCTCACAGGGTTGTTGTTGTGAGGATAAAAGCTGTCCTGAGGCTCTGCGAAAGGACGGCATACAAATATTCTAAATAAAATAAATAGATAAAATGATGTTGTGTGGGGATAAAAAGCAGCAGGAGGAGAATGATGTAAGCCACTTTGAGTTCACGAGAGAAAAAAGCAGGGTATAAATCAAATAAATAAATAAATAGATAAATATTTCCTCTGCGGCCTCTTGGCAGTATTATCTGGCTAACTTCCAATTTCTCTGACAACCTCATTACCAGGTAATACTGAGTCCAAAATATAGTAGCTAGCAGCCTTCCTCCACACAGTGCCCTCTGGATGTTAGGCTACAACTCCCATCATCCCCACCCAGTGGACATAGTGGTCTCAACACCTTGCTGAGGGAGGATCAGCTGCAGTGTCACAATCCAGGACTGAAGGAATCCAGGATCGGGTGCCCACTCAGCCACGAGGTTCCCAGCTGGGTGACCCTGGGATAGGAACTCTCTCTCAGCCTGTCCTACCTCACAGGGTTATTATGAGGATAAAATAAGGGGGCGTGGTGGCCTAAGCTGCCCTGAGCTCTCGAGAAGCCTGGATAAAAATAAAATTATAATTACAAAAAGGAGGTTAGGCGATGCATTACAGATCTCCAGTGACTCTGGCAGAGCCGCATATATTACAACACGCCCAAAAGCTTGCGCCAAACCCAGAGTGACCTAATTTAGCTGGCTTTGTTTCTTCTTTTCAGTCTGCGATATGCAAATCAGTCCAGATTTTGATGTTGTTGGGCAGGAATGGGAAATTTAATTCACAGAAGACGAGCCCAAGTCTAGACGTGCCTGCAGAAAACTCAAGTTTCTGCAGTTGGGATTACAGGGCTATGAATCACCTGCCCACTTCCAAAAGAGCCTCTGCCTGAACGGATGCCACAAACACGGGGCATCGGGCACACACGATTCCCAGCTTGTCAGAGCATTTGTGGGCAGAGGCTAAGCTTGTGGGATCTAATTTGTCATTTTACAAGAACCCCGAGATAAAGTCAACCTCGCTACAAAAGTCATGCGCTCAGAATTACAGAAATGAGAGCCCAGGAATTTCTCCCAAGCACCAGAACTGAACAGAGCTCACAGTTCTTCCACATAAGAATCCACACGTGGTTACACAAGCTCTCTTCCTTTCAGGATAAACTAGAGCATGCAAAGAGGGAGGGGCTGTTTTGCTGCCGTCGTCATGTACAAAAGCCCGTGCTGACCTCCTGCACACCCCCTGGAAACTATGAAAAGATTCGGATCAACTTTCTGTCCATAGCGAACTAGGAATTAGGCAGTTGCTCCCATGCCCAGATTTTTATAGGTAAACAATGACACAAAAGTGTTTCATTTATAGAAATTCCGTGGGCGAAGTTTCAGCTTTGTGGTTACAGAGGAATCTTTGCAGCCACTGCTTGACGGGGTGACAGGAAGAAGCGAAAACAAAGCGTATTTTCTAGATTTCCCTGTTCTATGCAGGGAACACTTCAAACGGGTTTCTGGTTTTCTAGGAATCTAACCTGTAGATTCTGCAGCAGCCTGGCTTTTACTGGGCCACTTAAATGCCACAGATTGTGCAGACTGATTGATTTATGATTTACCCTGCCCATCAGCCCAAAGGCGCTGAAATGTGCCTTTTCAGCACAAAAGAATGAAATTCTGGTGCACTGGTACCCCCGCCCCAATTCCATCAGTAGAGAATGAGAAAAGGAAAGATATCTGATATTCAGCGAGGTTAGAAGAAGCTCAGACTGCATCGGGTTAAGTTAAAATAGGACAATATGCAAAGTCCAAAGTGTTGCGGCCTGTCTTTGGAAGACATTGTTCTTGTTCCTCTTTCAGGGCAGAATTATGAACAAAAACTTAGCTTTGAGAAGCAGATCTATCCAATGGTCCAAAATTATCAGAACGAAAGAGTTCCAGGGACAAGTTGTAGGTCAGTAAAGCCAAATGCATTCTCCAGCATCTCCAGGTGGGGCCAGCAAAGAACCCTACTTGAAAGCTTGCAGAACTGTTGCTGCCGGTCAGAGCTGACAATACTGGACTAGATGGACCAAAGAGCTGTCTCAGTATAATGCTTCAGATGTTCCTATGAGGTCTTTGGCCCCGCATGGAAGAAGCAAGATGCCGAAGGCCACTATGGAGTCTGGAAAGCTGTCCAAGTCATCCAATGGATACTGACAGCTGCTCCTGGATGGTCACTCCACAAAACCACAAGGCATTTACTGTAACGCGATCAGAGAACCTACACGGTGGGCTCCACCAACTGGCTATTCCAGAAGAATCGTGAGATCACTTCCGAATACCTTGGGCAGCGTCAATGCAAGAACTTTGCAGAATCCAGAGGCAGCACACTGTGTGCTTGTTCCGGAATGCCAGAGCATAAAATATACACGCCTGTGGGCACATATCATATGTTATACGTGCGCCTTAAAAAAAGTCGAAACAGCAAGGAGGGAACGGTCCCCCTACGTTGCTTCCTGCCATTTTTTAAAAGGAGCATGTCCTGCATTTATTTAGCTAATATACTTGGTTGCTTTCAACTAGAATCAGTGCAATTTACAATATAAACTCTTTTCCAAAGCCTAAAAAAAGATTGCTGAATATAAGATAATAAAAACCCAGCCACAACTGCAATATTCAAAAAGGCACCCCAGCATTGGTCCTCTTAATCAACAGGAAAAGCTGGATGTGAAGACACGCCTTGATGGCCATCCTAGGCAGGGAATCCTAAGGGAAGGGGAAACCATGGAAAAGGCACGACTATAGAGTCTAATCCTTCAAAACCCTCAGGAAGAAAAAACACAAAAAGAAGCTTCTCCTTTCTGTGATCAATGGCTAGACAGAAAACTTATTTGAGGAAGAAGTCTGCAAGACAGTCCCTTTGTCTATCGGACAAGCCACTTTGAGATGGTCAAACCACTGTACCACTTAGGAATAATCAAATATTCCTTGAGCCTGGTTTTCCCATTTTCCAAGAGGCAGGAATGTTTATGGGGAAGGGGTGATCCCAGCAATATTTAGTCACGAGAGCTCCTATCCATGGTCTGAAGTGGTACAGAAAGTTTACTGCCGCCGTGAGAACCACATAGGCGTAACCTTCGAGTGAGATCACGGATCCAGCTTCACAGGAATGCTAATTTTGCCACCACCCTGCTCATTTTGAGGCTGCGTAACCACAAGTATTCAGAAGGCACTGCCTCCCGAGAAAATGAAAAAATCCCCGGCACAGCGGCCAACCTTCCAAAGTTGTCCCCGTGCCAAGGGCGCTCAGTTTTCCAAGAGCACGATGCCGTTTGGACAAGGCTGCTGAATACAAGAGAAGTGGGAGAGAAATACCGAAGGGCCACAGCAGTCCGGGACTGAGCCAGAAATCAGGAAGTCCTTGACTACAATTTCAGCTTTTCCCAAGGATTTCGAGGAAGCCTGGAAGACAAACAGTTCCTCTCTGCCGCAGCCCCTCAACCTATAGGGCAGGAAGTGGGGGAACTCTAGCCCGCAGCCAAATCTGGCCCTTGGAGTGGGTTGCCATTCCAACCGGTGTGAAGCCAGAGCCATTTGCTAGCCGTTAATAAAAGCACTGAAGGCTGCATTAAATAACGGGAATAAAGGCACTGGAGGAAAGTCTTACCTTAAAGTAGAGGCCGTTGCGTTCCTCAGATACTATGACCAAGGTTGAAGGATAGAGGATCAGCAGCCGGTCGTGCTGCTCCTGTTGGAGACCAAGAAGATGACGCCACAGACAAGGCGAGTTTTAGATTCAACATGCTCAGCCAAATTCGGCAAAGTACAGAAAATAACAGAGGGGTGCATTTTAAAAACAATTATCTTTAAAGCATGTGTAGACCACCCTATCCGCAGAAAAGGGCTCCCAAAGCAGCTCACAATGGTCAGGAATAAGGCAGTACCTGCCCGCAAGTTTACAAGCTAAAAGACACGACACACAAGGAAGAGGAGCTGGGAGGGGAGAGGAAAAAGCAGGTGCTGCTATTCGGGTTTTGGTCACTAAGTGGTTGTCCTGACAGCAAGCTTCCTACAGCTGCTCCTTCTCTGGCTGGTGGATAGGATCAGCTCTGTCTTCCCCTTGCTCGAAAGTTCTTTCTGGGAGGCAAAGGGTGAAGTCCGAGCATCCCTGTGGCCCTTGGTCCCCGACTGACGGCAGAGGTCAGGGTGCACTGCCCTTTGGCTCTGCCTCACGGTGCTGTGAGTGTATTATGCAAGAGGATGCAGAGCTAAGCTACTCAGGAAGCTTCATTTCTTGTTTTCTATAAGAGATTAAGTTTCTGGTCCTTAGGATGGTGAAGGTAGACTCAAGAGTGTGGGGGCAATTTCTGCCAATCCTCAAATGCCAAAGGGCCTGATCTAATGAAGCAGCAAAAGACCCCCTCCACGGCTGCCACCCCCCAAAACAGGGCGATCTGCCAGATTCTGCGCAAACCTGACTTCCCCCGTGGATCCTGTGCTCCCGAATAAATAAGAGACCGGCTAAACAGAGAAATAATTTCCAACATCAGAGGTCCCGTTCCCCCTCCTCCCCCCCGGGTCCCACCTGGAAGGGCAAGTGTTGCAGCTTCACTTTGGAGACGCAGAGGATGTCTCCCAGGGACTCCCGCTGGGTGCCCCGCCACTCCTGCACGGGGGTGTTCTGCACGGACCACCGCAGCTCCTCCCTCCCAGCGGAGTCCTGCTTCCATTCACGCTGAAAGGGGGAGCAAACGTCATGGTGACACAGGTGCCGAAGCCCGCGAGCCCTCGCTCATCCCAGGCCGTGCAAAGAACGCCCCCCCCCCCGACATCCAAGGCAGCCCATGCATAGCTTTGCACGCTCCGCCCTGCCCTCCAAGCACCATTCCCAGCTCGACAGCTAGCTGCTTCTGCAGCCTCGCTGTCAGACTGCATTCATTGATTTATCCATCGCACTGCATTTACGTCCTGTCCTCTTCCCACAAGCCACTCAAGGCAACTTGTATAATCCGCCACTTCCTCCCTGTTTTATCATCACATCGACCCGGAGAGGTCGGCGACTGGCCCAAAGCCACCCAGTGCGTTTCATAGCTGAGCGATGACTAGGACCCGGTCTCCCAAAGCCAGCAGTCTAACCACAACATCACTCTGGCTCAAGTGCGCACACGCACGCACAGTACGTGTGCTTGTGCACTTTAAGTTCACAGCACCCTCAAAAAAAAAAAAAAAAGGGTGCTTGCGTCCATTTCCCTGACGGAAAGCAACTGCTGCTCTCTGACTGGTCATTTGCCCCATTGCCCCAAAGTCCAGCCCAAACAGTACCCCAGAGGTCTGCAGGCCCAGGTGGCTCAGAGGAGAAGAGCCCAAAGGGGGTCGCATCACACGGGGCGCTGGACTCGGTGGCCTCGTGGGCCCCTACCGACTCCACGATTCTACCATTCCCCGATGCTGCCAGCCAGCGCAGGCACCCCGACAACCCAGCACGGCCCGCAAACCAGTCATTCCGGTTTCTTTCTCGCCTCTCATACGCTGCATCACCTCCCCTTTCTATGGTAGCAGAATCAACAGCAGGCGAGGCTGAGCTGTCAGGGAACCCAACTGGGTAGCGTGATGTGTGAAAAAGCCCCACCAACACGTTGTTCTCCCCCCCCCCAGAAAAAAACCCACAATCCTCACTTCCTTGTCCAGGACAGAATTACTCATTCCCTCGCTCTGGAGGAACAATAGTCAGAGAAACAGCCAGTTTTACAGCAGGAGAGTTTCGACTCAGGAGTTTCAAGGCCTGCTGATGACGGGGACAAAACCACGTCCCACAGGTGCAGATACGGGACGGCATCCAGTTTCACACCTGCTGACTCCTCGTTTCCCACACAGACAGAGGCTTTTTGTTTGCAGAGAGAGGCGCCTCCTCCCACCTCTGCCAGCATCCCCGCCCAGCACAGGACCCCGTTCCAGGCGAAGGGAAGGGGGTCCGACAAAATCGAATGGGTACGGCGTAAGTCGCCTCGCTGCCGGCGCTCGCTTCAGCATGCGGCAACTTGGCCTCTGCCAGCCGGCGGCATCGCCACTGGTTTTATTCCATGATTCCACCCGAAGCCCTCAACTGCCTTCCTTTCTCCGTTTGACCATCTTGCTTTTCTTTTGCCAAGCCCAGATTCTGAGGCAGCCTCCCCCAACTTGGTGCCCTCTAGACTACATCTTCCATCAGTTAGACAGCAGCAGGGGATGAAGGCTGATGGGAGCTGTACTCCAAAACATCTGAGGGTCCCACATTGAAGAAGTCTGCTTTATTTATTTATTGGTTTGTTTGTCGATTTATATCCTGCCTTTTTCCTACAAAGGGCTCAAGGCAGTGTACATCATTCTCCTCCTCCATCTTATCCCCACAACAACAACCCTGTGAGGTAGGTTGGGCTGAGAGTCTGTGGCTGGCACAAAGTCACCCAGTTAGCTCCACGGCTGAGCAGGGACTAGAACCCAGTCCCACACTCTTAACCACTATACCACACTGCCTCTCCACACTGGCTTTACTTCCATATAGAAAGAAACAACACCTTCATGCAAAGCATACTTAAAACTATGGATTTCAATTCCACAAGGTGGAGTGAGGACCACCAGTTTGGATGGCTTTAAAAGGGATTTGGGCGAATTCATGGGTTATCCATGGCTACTAGTCCTCAGAGGCCATATGTTACCTCCAGTTGCTGGGGAACCCCTTGGCCTGATCCCGCACAACCTCTCTTATATCCTTACGATCAGTGCTAGGAGGGAGATCAGAGCAGGAACTGTCGTCTCGACCTGCATCTCCACGGCACGAATTCACACTGCGGCTACCTTTGGAGGATGCCTCCAAAGCACCCACTCACCTGCATCAGGAAGGGGAAACTGAGGCTCCCCCCGTTTAAGTGGATCTGCTTCTCCAAATGGTAGAGCCAGCGCTTCAGCTCCGACCTGTCAGGGCAGTAGATGATCAGGGGGTTCAGCAAAGGACCTGCAAAGGCAAAGAGCAGGGGGACACGTTCACAGTCTTCAGGGTTACTGGCCGAGTGGGCAAGTGCTCCTCCAGGACCCTCTGTGGGGGGAATGGGCTGGGCTGGGCTGGGCTGGGAGCTCCTGGGCCTGCATTCCCAAACTGCATGGCAGAGTCGATACCACTGTATTCCTTAATGCCCCGCACACAGAAACCCGGCCTGTTGAGGAAACTATGACCTTCCTGCACGATGTGCTCATTTTCTGTACGTAAGGGGTAGCACCTGCTTTTAGAATGCGTTTTAAATCCTGGAAGGTGTTTTTGCATGCAAAATGCAGCTACCTGTATTGATTCGGTTTAAGAAAGGCTTGGCTGCACAGCAGCGTCGCAGACCAGCATCAATCTTTCATATTATTTTGACTGGAAGTTCCTCTGGGCAGGTTTCATCTGACCCTCTTCTCCTGCCCCCTGCCCCTGCTGGCACTCATTATATGAAAACAAGAATATACTTTGCGGTCCAGGACAGAACTTCCTCCCAGACCAGGTTATCTGGCCACCCTGCATTTTTATTTACATTCTCTGTAACTTGTAGCTTGGCTGGTTTAGTAGAGATAACTGGAGTTATTTGCTCTGTTTTCTGCTTCTGGCACACTGCAGCCCCAGACAACTTTAGCAAGCAAGCCGGGCCATGTAATTTTGTGCCCCCCCCCCCCTTTTTTAAAAAATAGGTTTGTACTCAGCTTTTTAAGTATGGTCATTTTTTCCCAAGTAATTTCCCCTAATTCCAAGTGGTTTTGCACACAGGTTCTCCCTATTATAATTTTTCATCTTCAGACTGCATTTTCCCTCCATTCTGGTTTTAGAGGCACACCTTTCTTTTAAGTTTGCCTTAAAGTGCAAACCAAATTAATTCCTCACTCTTGCATCCTTACCAGTGAATCAAACCTTCCAAGATGTCTTTCAATATGACCAGGAACATCTCAGTTCAACTGCATTTTTATTTATTAACATTTGTTATCACATTTCTAGCACCACACCTTTTCTTCCTGTTGCAAGGAAACTAGGGCAGCTCACACGGTCCTCCACCTCTCCAATTTATCCTTGCAACAGAAACCCTGGGAGAATTGGTGACCCACCCAAAGTCACCCAGGGACTAGAACCCAGATCTCCTGAGTCCCAGTCCAGCTCTCCAACCACTACGCCACACTGGCTCTTCCTCTCCTACTGCTCTCCATCTTGAATCATTCGAGCTTGTACATTGTATGTATATGGTATATATTTATCTCCTGCCCTTTTTCCTGCTAGGAACCCAAGGTGACTGATAAGACTCCTCCTCTCCTTCTTTTTATTCTCCCAACAACCCTGTTAGGTAGGTTAGACTGAAAGAGGGCAGCTGGCCCAACGCTCCCTGGGGGCTTCATGGCCAAGTGGGGCTAGAGCCAGATCTTCCAGCCCCACTGCGGCACACCAAGCCTGGCTCCTTAGGGGCACTAAGCCCGACCACTAGCCTCCCGATTCTGTTGTTCGTATTGCATGCTCTCTGCAAAGGCTCGAGCCGCCGTCTGTCCGGCCGGCCGGCCGGCCGTCTGTCTCATCTCGCCCCAGCCACGCACACGCCCTGGCCCAGTGGGTATAACAAACACTAGAGGGACATTACCCACCCACTTCCAGTCAATGAGCAGACTTACCTAAAGGAGCTATCATTCACTGCCCCACCCCTTATTCAAACAAATATTAGGCACGCTTTGGATGGCCTCAGCTTGGCGCACCAAGATAAGCTAAGACTCAGCAAGCCATCATAACAAATCCTTATCAGCAGAGGGAGTACTTTGGCCTTCTGGGATGCATGGTGCTTAAGGCAAACACTGATTAATTAGGGCTTGCTTCACTGCCAAGGATTGGTAGGAGGGAGCACAATGTATTGTTCACTGTGCCAGCTGAAGAGTTAAGATGGGGGTCCCTTGCACGCTGGCTGCTGCATTTGTTCCTCGGGGGCTCAGGCCCACAGAACAAACACAAAGCACGCACGCACTTGCGCACAAGGTCCTTGACTCATGTGCTGAAGTTTCTTTCCCTGTCCATGCATCTTTAAAAGGCCCCGTCTCCTAGGGATGCATGGACAGGGGAAAGGAAGGCATCTGATTTCAGAAGGAAACCTCAGGTAGGAAGGTACGGAAGCAAGAAGTGACGCGGTTGTTCTTACGTGCCATCAAGCTGACTTACGCTGACCTGTGAATGAAAGCTCTCCAAACAAACACAAGCAAAATTCGTGTCTAAATTTAAAACAGTCAAGAAGGGAATCTACTACTGCACACTGAATCCCTGACAGGAGTTTGGGAAGATCTCAGAGTACAGCGAAGATGCCGTGTCCACGAGGTAGCTTCCATGTCACCAAGATGCAACATCCACCCACATTCTGAAACCTGCAGACTGGTCTGCAGAGCGGAGCAGAGAATCTTGGTTCAGTCTGAGGTTTTGCAGACACTATTATAATAAGCAGTTCCAAAAGGGCATGAACTTTTCCCCTCTCCAATCTAAAATATCACCACTGCCACCTCCTCCCCTTAAGGGCAATTCCATTTGAAAAGGAAGTTTGGGGCTTTTTTAAAGGTGGGGTGGGGAGGGGAAAGAACATTCATTTTCACTAGCCTCTAGGTAGGCTGGGACCCCACGAATAGAGTGGACCAAGGCGAAGGCTGGCTCCATCATTTCGGGGCAGAGTGCTTTCGTTCTTAAACCTCATCTCAGAGTTTTCAGGAGAAGAAGTAAAATCTCAGCAAGAGAAGCCAGAAACAAGGCGGTATCAGACAAATTTCTCCTTGACTTGAGAACATTCACTAAAAGCTCCAACCATCCTCCCCCAAAGTCCCTTACACTGTCCAACCCTGAAGTGTTCACCCCGCTGATCTGCCAGGCACTGCCTTCTAGCTGCAGGCTTCATTCCCTCGAGAGACACAGTTCTAAGACCTAGAGAACCACATTTTCAAAAAAAAAAAAAGCCCCACATGGCATCAAATCAGCCAGAGAAATAAACTCTCACTTGTACGTGTCAGTTAACTCTGAAAACCTGGCCAAGGCTGATACCGGAAATGGCCACGATCACCATTCAGTACATTGCTTCCCCGCTTCTCCAGCTGGGCAGGGCGTGGGACAAGCTTTTATCTCCATGCTGGCGCTGTTAGCAAGCCCTACTTGGGAAGGGACAAGAGCAAGAGCTGGTGAGGACGGCTATTCCATGCAAAGCAGGCATGGCTGAGCTGTCCACCGTTCAGAACAACGGAAGATGTGGGGATGCCTCACAGAGGAATCCAGAACGTGAAGGGCTCGGCAAGCTTTCCTGAGTATCATAAATGCATGATCCTCGGGCTGAGCAGCCGGAAGTGTAAGGCGGCAAAGCTAATCAGGGCAGGCGTCTAATGAAATACTACAAAACTGACCGAGCACGCTGGTCTTTTCCAACCAAAACACTCACAGGCTAAAAAGAACACCTGCTTCACCTGTTTGCCAGGCAAGGTTTTTCTTCCCTTGAAGTCCCTGTTTCTGCGGAAAGCTCTCTGATACGCCCCGCTTTGTTAACTGGCTGGACAACCCAGACTGACCTTTCTTCTTGCACCTATTTTTGTTTTGCTGTGATCTCGTGCCATCACTATTCCAATGCCTCGAAAGGGCAAATAAGGGTTGAAAATCACACCAGTGTCTGTGTTCGCATCTGTGAAATGATGCGAGCGTATACTCCGCCCTTGCACAGCTCTCGTTCTTTGCAGTAAAGCTCGGCGCAGAGCTAGGTTTCTCTGCTTGCTTTACGGCAAGTCCAACTTCGGATCCTGCCTGAAGTGAGAACCATGCTGCTAGAGCACGGGTGGAAAACATCTGGGCCTCCAGATGTTTCTAGAGAGCAACTCCTGCCAGCCCTAGGCGGGACGGGCGAGGATGCTGGGTGTTTGCGAGCCTGACCTTTCCCCCATCCCTGTGCTGGATCAGGGTTCCAAGTGGAAACCGTAAGAACAGTAGACGGAACAGTGCCATCCGTTCCATCAGCCCAGCCCCCTTCCACGCCTGCCCTCTCTTGCCCCCCCCCCCGCTTTGTTCTGAGTCATGATACTTTGCAGAGGCTCTTCCTGGGAAAACAACCTGTCTGCTTCTAGGCTCCAGGGCTGAGTCACTCCTGAGCTGGAGCAGTTGCTCCTCAGCCGTCAAGCACAATTATTTGAAGGGCTACCAGGTAGTCAGGAAGAGCGAGCTGATAAAGAATGTGGACTCAGCCCAACAGCAGGGAGTGAGCTGGCTGGTGCATCTGCCTACGTGGTTCTATACTGAGGAGAGTGGCCAGGTGTCCTACTTTACAAAGGACAGCCTCTCTTTGAAAGTGTTCTCTGTCTGAAGGACCAACCAGTACATGTCCCATTTAAAAGATTTTTTAAACTTAGGAGGGTGACTTGGGATAGCAAGAATGGAGAAGGAGACTTCTCAGTGGTAGCCCCTAATTGTGGAATGAAACCTGTCTGGTGCCAACATGGTCACGACTTTCGGTGCCAGGGTCAGACTTTCCTTTACTGCCAGGGATATGGTGGTGCTTTTAATATTCACTTTATTAGGCTCCCTAATTTCACTGTTAATTGTTTTGAATTGTTTTCGCACGTGCATGTGATACGTCTTACCGTATGTTGCATTCTGGAGTTTTGCAACCCTTCTAGAGAACTGTGGCTATTGGTGGCATTAAAATAAAGTCAATGGAGGGGAACACAGCCCTCAGAGCAGAGTGAGAGGTGGGCGGAGCAACAGAAAGTGACGAGAAGGAGGAAAATCTGCAGCGGCTCTTGTCCTGATCCCTCAGCGGGCGTTCGGTCCGCCAACAAGCCCAGGCCTAAAATGGGCCAGCACTTACTGGAGGGTACAGGCGGGATTCATGTGAAAACAGCCTTTATGCACTGGGCTTTTTATCTCCTCCTGCTGCAGCCTTTTGCTGTGGTGTCACAGGGAGGGCCAGCATGGAAGAGGCTGGGGAGCTCCCCTTCTCATCCAGGCACATGGGCTAGATAGTGAGGCATTCTCTGATCCAGCCCAGAGCGGAGACGTACAGTCTTTGCTAAATCCATTCCACCGGGCTGATTGGTTGGTTGGTTTTGCAGATTTTCAGGTGCCTCTTGTTCTGTCCTCCAGTCAATTTATTCATGCAACATTGGACATCCAAAAATGTGCACATCTCCCCCAAATGCATAGTTTCTTGCTTTTAGTCCAAGGCAGAAAATTGCATTTTGGGTCAGCACTGTTTTCCCCCGCTCCCTATATTTGTGTGAAATGATAGAAAGGGCTGCAATCGACCCACAGATCCATGGAATCTGCAAGATTCAGGAGCAGCCCTGCCTTGGCTTCTGCAGGTCGAATTCCTAGATATCTAATCTCATCTGAGTCCCTTGCAGATTTCTCTGACACCCCTAAGCCAGAGTAGTAAAGGACCCCAGAAACTACCCTCACCTGTAATTTGGAAGGCATAAATTTCTTGCTGCGTCCCCTTTGGATTTTCCAGTTCATGAAGCTGGAGTTCTCTCAAAGGCAGCAAACCCTGTGAAAGCACAATAAAGATGGTCAGCCTCCTTTTCTTTGACCCTCCTCCCCTTTCCGATTCCAGAAGTTGCCCTGCATCACTCCCCACTAAGATAAGAAAGCAATTTTCTGAAGGGCTACTATCCCCAGACAAAGCCTGGTTTGTCCATTTTTCTGTGATGGCTGGGGGATCGTGGCTCAGCAGTGTAGAAAAAGGCATGACTCAGCACCATCAAGGGTGGAGCAGGGTAAACAGTTAACCCTTGAAAGCTACCCCTAAAAAGCGCAAAGGCCTTGAGACTCGAAAACAGATATTTCCTTGGCATGGGTCACTGGGTGATTCACAACCATGAGATGACAACACATTTGCCTCGAATGACCTTGGGAGAGAATGCATCATTTTACCCGCATCTCAGGAGGAAGTCATAAGCAACTTATTTTCATCTGGGGGCATGGGATGCTGAGTTTGACCAGGGAAGGGATGGCCTGCAGCTTTAGGCGCAAATATGGGATCAGCCACTGGGCTGACAGAACAGGTTGGGCAGAAAGGAAGAGGGGCCAGGTCAAGCGAAGGAGGCCACCATATCTCAAAGCACAGCGCGAAGGCCAACAGCTGTCTCTTGCTTTCCATGTGGTGGGGTAGACCAAGGAATGAAGTGGCTTCAAAAGTCAGATTGGGGTCAGACTGAAGTCGAGCCCATCGCTTCAACTTTCTTTACACACTTGTCGTGGGGATAAAACGTGTGCCCCCCCCACTTCTGCCTCTTGGAGGGCAGGATACAAAGATGAGCAACACAGAGTCTGTGGAGGGGCCTGAAGCACACGGGCTTCCACAAAACATGGGGGACCCTGGATTATTTGGACTACAGCTTCCATCAGCCCCAGACAGCATGCCAATGATTGGGAAAGCTTGGAGTCGCAGTCCAAAATTTCTGGTGGGCACCAAGTCAGAATCATAGACGAGTTGGAAGGGGCCAGAAGAACAGCAGGGCTGGACACTGAGTTACACCATCCATAGACTCACAGGTCGTGGGCGGCTGGAACGCACAGACGAGTCGGGTTCCCAAGGTCTTAGGCGGCCCTGTGCGGAGATGCCAAGGCTAAACTCTGGGCCTTTCGCTCGCAAGGCACTGGCCTTGGTATAAAACTGGGCGCTGCCACCACAGCGCCTGCCCTCCTTTTACCTGGTAGGTGAGTCCATTGGGCCCGAGAGACTGAAAATAGAGGTAGGCTTGAAAGAGCTCCAGGTAGCAGTCATTCACCTCCTACAACAGAAAGGACACATTCAGGGGGGTTCTCGGTCCTTCACCGACACCAACACGTCCTTTGGCTGTTTACCCAGGCTTATGCAATAGCATGCAAAGCAGGAAGACATTTTTTTAAAGAGGAGGAAACTAGCAAGAGCAAGCAAAGCAATCTAGAAGTACCACCATCAAGGATTCAGAGGTTGCTGAAGCGTGTTTTCAGCTTGCTACCTCCAATGCTTAAGGCTTTTTGCACCACGTAACACGGTGGGGAGAAAGGTGGGAATGAAGTGCAGAGATGCCTGCTCTGCTCCAGGACTTTTTCTAGCCAGGCTGGAGCTCCTCTTAGGGGCAGGATATACCACAACATCTTGTTGCAGTGCTCCCCGCTTGGAGCTCGATAAATAGGCAAGCTGTATGCCGAGTTTCCCCACTGCATCGCTCTTCCTTCTGCCCAAGCACCGAAACAAAAACAAAAGACAGGTTCAGCACCTGCTTTTCCTCCTCTGCAGAACTCACCGGACTGTGCTGAAATTTAAATTTGACTTTGGAGTAATGGATAATCTGACCCATGTTTCGCACCACGGTTTTCCGCCGCCCCTTCTTGAACAGGCTTGGGAACCGCTGGTCCAAGTTTTCCTTCTCATTTTCCTGGTTTGTGAGGCTCTAACAAAGGTGAAAAACAAACCATGTTGTTGTAGTTGTTTTTTCAAAGGGTAAAAAAAAAAACACCTAAATGAAGCTGGAAGTCAAACCCACAAACATCAAAGAGAGATTGGAGGGTTTACAACCCTGGTCAAGTAGAAACATCAGAGAATTTCACAATGGCTTTACAGTTCACATTTCTATGAATCCAACTTGCGGATTCTGCAACAAACTCCTGCCCCCCCTTCCCCTCGTTTGTTGAAATTCTCTTGCTTTACAGAGCACTTTTTGGACAGAGGGTTGTACAATTTCATTCATTTTCAAATACATACTTGTTCTAATAGAGGGCTGGGCTAACACACATTTATCTTAGCAAATGAGCAAATTCTACCAAAAGACCCAGTTCCATTAAGGAGCAGATAATAAAATGCAAAACAGCAAACATCCAAGAAGTTAGCAAACTCTGTGGATTCAGTAGAAAAGGCGGCTTTCTCCGAATCGAACATTTGGCAACCCTGAATTCAGCAGAGATGCCTTTCCAAATAAATGTTCTCTGTGGGGGAAGGGGGCAGCTTTCATGCCAGGCAAGGTTTGCGGTTTCTTTTACTGCTATGTGGTCAGTTTGCTTACAACCCTGGAGAGGATTTAAAAACAAAGCAATAGGAAGATTTAAAAACAAAGCAACACTAATTTCCTTCATGTCCGGCATTGCAATTAATCCAGGCCTGCGGCTTGAAAAGGTGCTAAATTTAATTTGAACCCGCAGAACAAGAGGCTGCCAGTCAATTCCAACAGCTCAGTTTCAAGCACACACTTAGCCCGCTACTGATTTTCTGAGCTCAGCTGTTTATAGCTCTCTCTCCTCTCCACGAACCCTGGGAATTTTTTCCATACGCATCTTTACATGTCTATTAGCCTTCGGCATGCCTCATTCTCCTCTGCAGGGACACGTCTGGCCAACTTGCAGCTTTTTCTCACCGATGTCAAAACATGCCTCTCCTTAACGCGCAGAGCAGCCTGATGTTCTATCTCGGATTTGCAGCCCTGCGGACCCTTTTCCAACTCTAAAATCCCGAATACATTCCCAGGCACCGGTCTAATTTCCTGAAGCTCATTTGCCCTCCATCTATGGAATTGCTGGGGGATGTGTCGGTTCCCCCTCCCCCTTTTTATACTGCACCTTGCACTCCGAAAATGTTGTGCACGACCTGGGCCAAGATGCCTTTCGTGATAACCCCCATCCCACCTTCCGCTGCCCTCCACCTGCAAACACCAGCAAGTAACTGTCGCATCTCCCCCTCTGGCATTTGCAGCAAAGCGACTGGTGTCGAAAAGGTGGAGGGGGCGGAGGTATTTTATGGCCTGGACAAGACCACAGGATCAAGTGGCAGGCAGAGCGCACGAGTCGGGGAGGCAGAGCCCTGGGAGCGAGCTTATCCTACTCCGTCTGTGCTTTCTAATAAGTGCAGGGCAGCTGCAAGCGCTCCCTTGTCGGACGAAGGCTCTGCGGTCATGGACCGGGCCAGGGCTGTCCCGGGCACCCGGTTGCCTCCCTTCCCTGGAACAAGCCTCGTCTCTCTGCAGTGACCACTTCCGAGGCTAGTGAGAGGAACCGGTTAGCTGGTGACAAGGCGCTAATTATCCGCAAGCCCCTTTTCAAATCTTGGGTTTCACTGGCTTTAGCTGGGCCTAATTGGATCAAGACATCGCAAGCTCCACCGCTTTGATTTTGTTTCACTTCCATCGCATCCAGCCAAGGATGGAGCATCAACCTCAGGAGGTCGCGCAGAACCTTTCCTAGTCTGAGGGCCGACATTTCTTCTGGGGGCGCTTTCAGGAGCCACAGTTCATGGGCAAGCTTAGCCAAACTATGGCAAGGCCAACCCCCCCCCCCCACACACACAAAACCCAGCATATTGTAGCTTAGAGCTCCTACTGCCAGTAACTCAGCCTTTGAGAAAACATTTCCAACTTTTAGAATGCGAGAGAAACTGCCCAACAGCCGAGAAACCAGACAAGGCTCCATCCTGGGGCGATGCGATGAGGCTGGGGAGAGGGCACGAGACCTGCGTGAAAGAAAACTTCATGGGCTGCGCCGGGTCCCCAGGAGGTCCTACTTGCTGAAGGTTCTGCATCCTTGTCCCCAGCTGTGGATGATGGAATCCACAGGAGTTCTAGCCTGGGCTTCCACTGGGCCGCATGCGGGCTTTCGAGCGCCACGGTGCGTCTTGTGTCGTACCCTCAAAGGTTCGCTAAGGGTCGCATCACGTGTACCTAAACGAAGGGCGACTTCCCTGAGCTTCCCCGTAAGTCCGGTTGTGTGTGTGGCAGAGCTTACTGCATATCACTCGGTGGTGAGGGAATCTGCACATGTTCAGAGGAATGCTTTCTTATCGCCACTCCTGGCTACAGACAGAGATCCTGGCGGTGGCCCAGGAGCTAAATTAAGCACCATATGTGACTGTGGGACTACTCGATCTAGTAATCTAATATGCAAGCCAGAAATGTATGCATCTCTCCTAAGGTCAGGCTCCATGATTCGCTGGGCACGTAACCTCAGAGCTGGGCGAACGGGGCGGCAGGCACTGCGACCTATGCGTGCAAACGCGGAGGCAAGTCTCTGCTGCTTTCTCTGACTTTCCCACTGGTGGTTCCCTCGCTCGGTGTTCCGCGGTCACCCTTTAAAGCCCCGGAGCAAGACCGTGTCGGTGGCACCGTGGGGAATGGGAACGGCCATCCTGGGGGTGGGGGGAGACGTCTGTGGGAGGCTCCCCAGGCTGTGGGCTTTGCATCTGTCCTAAGATATCAAAGGTAACACCTGGCCTGCCCAGGCATCCGGTTGATCTCCCTTCCAGGAAAATGCCAGATGACCACAGTCTTAAGGGTGCAGGAACAGCCATGGGAGAACAGACGATCGAGCACTGCATTTTCATGCTGCCCTCGGGAAAGGCACAAAGCTATGATATCGGCAGTTGTAGTCCTGATTCCTTTCCCTTCACATGCAGGCGTTGTAGCTTGACACTTCTCCTGAACACACCCAAACCCCGAGATCTCTTTCTGAGCTTGTCCACTCCATTTCAGATGCCACCGACATATGCATGAAGTTGGTTGTTGGTTTTTTTTGGTCCCAGTGTGTATCAAATTGTATTTGCTTACATTATCGTAGTTCTTAGTCTTAATTATCCAGGTTAAAACTCACGAATTAGGTGACTTTCAAGGGCTGAACTTGCTTGACTGGCTCATTTAACAAAGAGCCAAATGCAATGTATAAACTTGCACCACTCACCATGACTTACAGAGAGAGGATTGCTAAAAATAGCCCTCCCCCTCCCGCCCCCTGTTGCAGACAGTGCGTGATTGCAAAGCTTTGGGGAAGTACTTCAGATAAAACGAATTCATTTCACAGTGGTCACCGAGGTATTGCAGAGTCTCTGAAGTCCGATGAACGGCTTGTATTCAATTTCACACAGATAATTTTTTTTAAAGTGCAGCCTATTGTGTTCTGGTAAAACTCACCTCAATTGTGGGCAATGTTTTTGTATACTTTTTGAAGAAAGGATGTTGCATCAATGTGCAGATGACTGAACAAAAGAGGACCACTAATCCACAAAACACTTAACAATTTAAAAATATCTGGATATGACTAGTATAAGCGATCACTTATCCTAACGACCTCAGAGAGTTAGTTAGGAAAAGAAACCCCAGAAAGAATAAAATGGAAATGATTCTTTGAACCTCTAAATGCAAAGGAAAGAAAATAATTGCGTAGCATTAATTCCTATATGTGTGTGTGTAGTCTAGTTCTTATTTGTTTATTTAATTTGTTTGAAAAACCACACGTTCTCTAGACAGCCCTTACAATATAAATTGATGAACCTGTTCTGTGCTCAATAAAGATAGCTAAGGGTCCATATATTATTTCTGGCTGTTTTCACCACTGCTTTGTTGCAGAAAGTGTCTGCAAATATTTGAATGACATAGTAAACTTAAATACGCACAGAAAACTTGTATGTCAAGAGGAAAGCTAAGCCGAAACTCTTCTCCCTGATGCACTAGTTTTCTATGTGCAGGTGAGAATGAAGATTTGTATGGGATAGTATTAAGTTATGTGAGCCCCAGCTTATATTCCGAGGTGATGTAGGCCTGATACCTACTTAGCACCTGAGGGAGAACTTTGTGAAAATCTACTGCTGTTTCCAGACCACTTAATGTTGTTTCAGTGAGGCCAAAACTCACCTTTTAATGACCTTCAGTGCCCTGATAGGAGAAGAGATTCCACAGAGGATTATGCAATGGGCTGGCGTCTCCCTCTCTCTCTCATTCTTTTTCTCTGCTCAGATACACTTCCCACCCTCTCCAGGAGTCCTGGCACCTTAAAATCCCTCTTTGCAACCCCCTGATCCTGCTTCTTGCAACAAGGAAGGGTGGCCACCTGTCCCTGTTGGCAGAGAACAGTGCTCTGTTTGAAGGGGTACCAAAGGGCTGTCCTCATGTCCAATCCCAATTTAAAGATGAAGGGCTGTAAGAACGCGTGTCCATCAGTTGGCATCTAGACACATCACATTTGGGAGGCAGACAAAAACAGCAAGCATGAAGGCGCTGGTTCTGCACAAGGGTGAGATTTTCTGCGTTTTTATGACTTATGTTTACATCCTGCAAAGAATCCAAATGAGTACGTGCAAATTTTATGTAGATTTAAAGCCTTTCTTTTGGTGATTCTTTAAAAGCCACCCTGATGTTTCTCCTCCCATGACAGAGGCTGCAATTTTCACTTCAGCATTTCCACGGTGTTTGCTTCTGCACAGAAACAACACACGCGGTCCTTACACATCCAGTTTCTGCACACCCTCCGTGGCTCCACAAGTGACTCACTGTCCCCTCTTTTAAAAATACAATTACTAGCTTGAGTATACAAAATATGTGATGGTTAAGGTGATGCAAGTACATGCGTTACTGCACCAAAGATATAGATATTCCTGCAAACAGATGTGGAGAGGAGATTTTTTCATGCGTCACACTTA